TATACTATGAAACTTTTGCATGATTTTAGACGACATGCTAAACTATGACACTTTTTCATGATTTTAGACGACATGCTAAACTATGACACTTCTTCATGATTTTAGATGACATGCTATACTATGACATTTTTTCATGATTTTTGACGACATGCTAAAGTATGACACTTCTTCATGATTTTAGATGACATGCTATACTATGACACTTCTTCATGATTTTTGACGACATGCTGTACTATGACACGTTTTCATAATTTCTGACGACATACTATACTGTGACATTTTTTAATGATTTTAGACGACATGCTATACTGTGACATTTTTTCAAGATTTTAGGTGACATGCTATACTATGACACTTTTTCATGATTTTCGACGACATACTATACTATGACATTTTTTCATGATTTTAGACGACATGCTATACTATGACACTTTTTCATGATTTTTGACGACATGCTATACTATGACATTTTTTCATGATTGTAGGTGACATGCTATACTATGAAAATCTTGCATGATTTTAGACGACATGCTAAACTATGACACTTTTCATGATTTTAGACGACATGCTAAACTATGACACTTTTTCATGATTTTAGATGACATGCTATACTATGACATTTTTTCATGATTATTGACGACATGCTAAACTATGACACTTTTTCATGATTTTAGATGACATGCTATACTATGACATTTTTTCATGATTTTAGATGACATGCTATACTATGACACTTTTTCATGATTTTAGACGACATGCTATACTATTACATTTTTTCATGATTTTGCACGACATGCTATACTATGACACTTCTTCATGATTTGAGGTGACATGCTATACTATGACATTTTTTCAGATTTTTGACGACATGCTATACTATGACACTTTTTCATGATTTTTGACGACATACTATACCATGGCATTTTTTCATGATTTTAGATGACATGCTATACTATGACATTTTTTTCATGATTTTAGGTAACATGCTATACTATGACACCTTTTCATGATTTCTGACGACATGCTATACTATGACATTTTTTCATGATATTAGCTGACATACTATACTATGACATTTTTTCATGATTTTTGACGACATGCTAAACTATGACACTTCTTCATGATTTTTGACGACATACTATACTATGACACTTTTTCATAATTTCTGACGACATACTATACTGTGACATTTTTTAATGATTTTAGACGACATGCTATACTATGACATTTTTTCAAGATTTTCGACGACATACTATACTATGACATTTTTGCATGATTTTAGACGACATGCTAAACTATGACACTTTTTCATGATTTTAGACGACATGCTAAACTATGACACTTTTTCATGATTTTAGATGACATGCTATACTATGACATTTTTTCATGATTTTAGATGACATGCTATACTATGACATTTTTTCATGATTTTAGACAACATGCTATACTATGACACTTCTTCATGATTTTAGGTGACATGCTATACTATGACATTTTTTTCAGATTTTTGACGACATGCTATACTATGACATTTTTTCATGATTTTAGACGACATGCTATACTATGACACTTCTTCATGATTTGAGGTGACATGCTATACTATGACACTTTTTCATGATTTTTGACGACATACTATACTATGACATTTTTTCATGATTTTAGATGACATGCTATACTATGACACTTTTTCATGATTTGAGGTGACATGCTATACTATGACACTTTTTCATGATTTTTGACGACATGACATTTTTTCATGATTTTTGACAACATGCTATACTATGACACTTTTTCATGATTTTTGACGACATACTATACTATGACATTTTTTCATGATTTTAGATGACATGCTATACTATGACACTTTTTCATGATTTTAGATGACATGCTATACTATGACATTTTTTCATGATTTTGGACGCCATGCTATACCATGACTTTTTTCATGATTTTGGACGACATCCTATACTATAACTTTTGTTCATAATTTTAAACGACATGCTATACTATGCCTTTTGTTCATAATTTTAAACGACATGCTATACTATGACACTTTTTTCATGATGTCTGGCGACTTGCTATAGTATGACTTTTTACACGATTTTAAACGACATACTATACTATGATTTTTTTTCATGATTTTAAACGACATGCTATACTATGACTTTGTTTCATTATTTCACACGACATGCTATATTATGACGTGTTTTCATGATTTTGGACAACATGCTGTACTATGACGTTTGTTCAAGATTTTGGACGAAATGCTATACTATGAATTTTTCACGATTTTAAACAACATACCATCCTATGACTTTTTCTTATGATTTCAAACGACATGCTATACTATGACTTTTTTTCATGATTTTGGACAACATGCTATACTTTGACTTTTTTCATGATTTCTGACGAAATACTATACTATGACATTTTTTTATGATTTCAAACGACATGCTATACTATGACTTTTTTTCATGATCTTGGACGACATGCTGTACTATGACGTTTTTTCAAGATTTTGGACAACATGGTATTCTATGAATTTTTCACGATTTTAAATGACATAGTATACTATGAAATTTTTTCATAATTTTAAAAGACATGCTATACTATGACGTTTTGGCATGATTTTAAACAACATACCATCCTATGACTTTTTTTTATGATTTCAAACAACATGCTATACTATGACTTTTTTTCATGATTTTGGACGACATTCTATAGTATGACATTTTTTCATGATTTTTGACGACATGCTATACTGTGAGACTTTTCATGATTTTAAACAACATGCTACACTATAACATTTTGTCATGATTTTAAACGACATGCTATACTGTGACTTTTTGTCATGATTTTAAATGACATGCTACTATGACATTTTTTCATGATTTTGCACGACATGCTATACTATGACACTTTTTCATGATTTTGGACGGCATACTATATTATGACACTTTTTCATGGTTTTGGACGACATGCTATACTATGACAGGTTTTCATGATTTTGCACGACATGCTATATTATGACTTTTTTTCATGATTTTGCACGACATGCTATAATATGACACTTTTTCATGATTTTGGATGATATGCTATACTATGACTTTTTTTCATGATTTTGGAAGACATGCTATACTATGACTTTTTTTCATGATTTTGCACGACATGCTATATTACGACCTTTTTTTTCAAGATTTTAGATGACATGCTATTCTATGACTTTTTGTCATGATTTTGCACGACATGCTATACTATGACACTTTTTCATGATTTTTGACGACTTGGTATACTATGACTTTTTTTCATGATTTTGGACGACATGCTATACTATGACTTTTTTTCATGATTTTGCACGACATGCTATACTACGACCTTTATTTTTCAAGATTTTAGATGACATGCTATTCTATGACTTTTTGTCATGATTTTAAACGACATGCTATACTATGACTTTTTTTCATGATTTTAAACGACATGCTATACTAAGACCTTTTTTTCATGATTTTGGACGCCATGCTATACTATGACACTTTTTCATGATTTTAGATGAAATGCTATGACACTTTTTCATGATTTTTGACGACTTGGTATACTATGACTTTTTTCATGATTTTGGACGTCATGCTATGCTATGACTTTTTTTCATGATTTTGCACGACATGCTATACTATGACCTTTTTTTCACGATTTTAGACGACATGCTATTCTATGACTTTTTGTCATGATTTTAAACGACATACTATACTATGACTTTTTGTCATGATTTTAAACAACATGCTATACTATGAATTTTTTCATGATTTTAAACGACATGGTATACTATGACTTTTTTTCATGATTTTGCACAACATGCTATACTATGACGTTTTTCCATGATTTTGCACAACATGTTATACTATGACGTTTTTTCATGATTTTAATCGACATGCTATACTATGACTTTTTTCATGATTTTGGACGACATGCTATACTATAACCTTTTTTTTTCACGATTTTAGACGACATGCTATTCTATGACTGTTTGTCATGATTTTAAACGACAAACCATACTATGAAATTTTTTCATAATTTTAAACGACACGCTATACTATGACATTTTTTCATGACTTTGGACGACATACTATACTATGACAGTTTTTCATGATTTTTGACAACATGCTATACTATGAAATTTTTTCATGATTTTAAACGACATGCTATACTATGACTTTTTTCAATGATTTTGGTTGACATGCTATACTTTGACTTTTTTCATGATTTTGGCAACATGCTATACTATGAAATTTTTTCATGATTTTAAACGACATGCTATACTATGACTTTTTTCAGTGATTTTGGTTGACATGCTATACTATGACTTTTTTCATGATTTTGGACGATGTGCTATACTATGACTTTTTTTCATGATTTTTGACAACATGCTATACTATGGCAGTTTTTCATGATTTTTGACAACATACTATACTATGAAATTTTTTCATGATTTTAAACGACATACTATACTATGACGTTCTTTCAGGATTTTGGTTGACATGCTATCAAATGACATTTTTTCATGATCTTAAATGACATACTATACTATTACATTTTTTTAATGATTTTGGACGACATACTATACTTTGACATTTTTTATGAGTTTTTAAATTACACACCATATGATGATCTTTTTAATGAGTTATTAACATCATATTATACTATGACATTTCTGATTTTTTCTTTTCAAGGCATACTATACAATGACACTTTTTTAATGAGTTTTTTAAGGACATACTACAGTATGACATTTTAATAATGTATTCACGACATACTTTCCTATGACATATTTTATGAGTTTTTTGCAGTACTTTACAATAAACTTTTATTATAAGACATTTTTATGAGTTTTTCACAGCATATGACAGTATCAAACCTTTTATAACATTGCCATGGCATACTGACATTGCAATGATAAAGGAATATATTTTCTTGTATTTGAAATAAAAAAGGAGTTTCAAGGATTAGAACACAAATACATCCATTTTAATTTGAGAAAATACAAAAAGAAACCATGTACAATCTATGTACAAACTTTTTGTACAAGACAGTATATTTATCAGCAGATTATATTTGACAGAGTCAGGTAGATCAACTCAGCACCATCAAATAATCCATTTATCCATCACATCTAGAACACATCCAAACTAATTAGACTGCTATGTCAAACTCCTGTTTGCTGCAATGACGATGTGCCAACAAATCCTATCCGTGATACGCAAGAGCAATGTCCTGAATTCTTCCTGAACTGATAGGCAGCCAAAAGAAATTAACAAAAATTGCAACTCTTCTTTAAAAAAAAAAAAAAATTGCTGAATGCAATTTTAATGTATTGTTAAGACTTGAGACCCACCTCCCATTCCCATAAGTATTATATGATCTATTATATCTACTACAATTCCCAGCAAATAAGTTATTATATCCATCCTTTACAGCAAAAAATAGATTAACAAAAATAATGCAACATAATTTAACAGTAACATATTGACGCATCGTAGTCTTTGATTTGTTCAGTGGACAACAACACATCTGATGTTACAGGCATGTGCCTCTATGTGCATCTTTCAGTCATCCACATGTAACTGCACTGCATGACACAACCCGATAGCCTGTAACCAAACACATAGCGGAGACGTTATGTGTGGTTTAATGACCGGGGCTCCTATCTATCTGCCCCGGCTGCTGCTCAGGCCTCCTGAATGCCACTTTTCGCTATAGTGGGACTTAACATGGGCCCTCCTCTTGACCTCTTGCACTGCCTGGCACTATACTGGTATGGAGGCAATGATGGCTTGGATGTTCTCCATCCCAGTACAAGACACCGTTCTCACAGTGGAAAACACTTGGACTCAGCTCCCTCAAATCGAGCTTGTGTCCCTGAATGACTGAAGGATGCTTGCTCAACTAAACTCTTCATGGCACTTCAAAAAACACTCTAAAAACTTTAGAGGTATACAATGCAAAGACCTAAAACATCTAATAAAGACATAAGACAAGGTGTAGGAAGGAAAGACATCTCAGTCCAGTGTTGTGAATAATGCCAGCCTGAATGAGTTGCACAATGAGGGTTCAGGTAGAAAAAGCACAGTAATCAAGTGTGATGAAAACAAATGGTGCATTACTTTGTGAGTTCATGTTGATGCCAGTTTGCAGCATGTACTGTTTCATTTTTGAACAACGCTATGTTTAAGTACCTCATAAAATACTCTGTAAACAAATATGAAGCAGTTGTGACAGATTGTGACAGATGACAAGCTGACAAAATGGAATGTAAACCCTGTAATAACACAAAGTAATAAAAACAGGAAAATTAAGGATGTTCTCTCTTTTGATAACCTCTGCTGAATTGGTGCTACCTTCCATCTTTGTGATGGCTGATAAACCAGATCAAATTCCGCCTGACTTTTCCTACTTGAATATTCTCCCACAGAAAATCCAGAGTCTCTCATTTTCAAGATACACATTTGTGTGTGTGTTATTTTTTTCAACATAACAATCAGTTTGTCGATTCTATGTATAATGCGTCATTGCCATTATCAAATATTAATAGATCCTTATTGTTCAGGCTAGCAAGTATGCCATTAACAACCCAATTATACATACATTTTACTCACATATTTTCTGAAAAGAAATCTATTTGCTACAAAGTGTGACGACGATGTAATCACAGTTCAAAAGTTCACTTCAGGACAATGTGTATGAGGCTTCAGTATAGTTGCACCACACCCAATAGATGTACATTGAAGCTCAGATCATTTTGTTTGAAAAAGAAATGTGGTTTATATAATGGGTTGAATTTACACAAACATATTTAGCACAATATTATGTTCTTTTCCATATTCCAAATATTCTTTTTTATTTTATTTTTTTTAGAATTACTTTTCCTTTACAGCCTATAGAAGAGAATCACTGCAATAATCAGACAGCATCTCCCTGTCCTATTAAAAATCATATTTTGTGGAAAACACCAGCACACTGTGCTTTAGTGTACACACTCTTCCTCCGCACTAGGGACCTAATTTAGGTCAAACACATCTAATGAAGGTCATTCGGTTCTGGCCTGCACACAGAGGGAGCAACTCTATGATCGTCTCATTATTATTATTACCACTCTGATCTGCTCTCCGTCTAAATACAACATTTACCCCCCCCAATACATAATTCCTTTTCACCTATCGTTCTGTCTGTATGTTCACAGCTAGGGATGCTTAGTAGTAGGCGCATTATTTAGTAGATGCGGCTCATCTGTGCAACTGAAAGAAGCTCCAGATGAGCCTTAATCTATTTCTACAAGCACTCAACAGAGCTGAGCTGCCAGGCTGAAGATGGTGGTTTCACAATGCAAGCTAGTCTAAGCTTTACTGGCTCCAGAGTGATGCAGTTTGTTAAACAGGGGGCAAGTGGGGAGGTAAAAAAATAATCTTTTGTTTTAGTATGATGTGAAATAAATGATGATACAGTCAAAAACAAAATCCTTTGATATGTAGTTGTAATTATAGATATAGTTTAAGTCTTTTTTTATCTCCCTTAGTACTGTTCACTTGGTTCTTGTCTAGAAAAATAAGTACAAATTGATTATGTTCATGGATACAAAATAAGTGTGTTTAAATGTATAAATCCAACTACATATTTGCATGAAGTTTACGTATCAGGAGTACAAGGCTACCACCTCAATCCTCCATCACTATCACAGCGCGATTTGGATCTATTGGTGCCTAAACTAGTGCGATATACACTCCGTTGTTGCACACAGGCTAGCATAAAGAACACTGGTTCCTCTCCAGTATCCTTATTAGCAGTCTGTGGCATTGTTGCATTTCAACCCAACTATGTTTGAGCATTTCCCCATGTTAGAGGACCGAACATAGCAGCTTAACTCCTGAGAGTTTTGAGGCGTGTGACATCTGGATTGGCAACAGAGAACATCCAAGCTCTTTACCGCCTCTGTGCCAACCCTGTGCCAGGCAGTTGCTTTGATCAAAGGAGGACCCGTTGATGCCCACTTTTATGCAATATGTGGCATTTCCATATACAGACGTGAAGTTATTTTGTAACAGACAAAACATTCAGAAAATACACCACTCTTCTTTGTGATCCCAAATTCTGCCGTGGGTTTCACGGCAAAGCGTCAACGGTGGGCACGCAGCTGCTGTTCCGGTTAGCTCTGCTCAACAATAGTTGGGGATTTTGGTTTGATTTTTGATGCAACACCATAATTTTGTTAGTAGATCCAACCCCTCTTCTATTGTTTTGTTTCTCTACCATGACTTTCATTTTTAGAGCAAAGATCCCACATGCTGCTCCTTCAAAGGTGCACCATCACATACACGTTGATGGAGGAGATGACAGCACTGATCAGGACGAATGGCTGCGATGCGCACACACATACACACACACACACACAGCGCGCGCACACACACAGCGTGCACATAACTTAAATGCTCCTGAACGCATGAAGGACAGGGTAGGTTGTTTTTCATCCTTCTCATGTATTCAGGTTGATCAACTGCACTGTTTCTGTTATAGAGGGGGCTCAGGCACATATCATGCGATAGGAGCTTTGAACAGAGTCACAGGCTTTATGATCTGACGTATCAGCAGAAGACATGTAGGTACAGGGTTCTCTTTCAGCCAGTGTTCACCAACACTGCACCATTCTCTGAGTTTTTTAGACTACTGCTTTGCAAGATGATTATGTTCTGCAGGACTGGAATGCTCTCACTCAACATGACGAGTCAACGGTGAACTAGCAAACCTTAAGCAATGACATGATGTATAACGACCTAAGAGCAAGATTAGTATGCCTCCAAAGCCAAGCTTCCCTTCCTCCCTCTTCCTTCCTTCCTTCCTTCCTTCCTTCCTTCCTTCCTCTCCTCAGTGACATTTATTGGGGGGAATCAGATGGTTCCAGTTGTTCTGTCAAAAGAAACTTGTTCAGTTTTAGTGCAAATAGAACAGAAGCAGACAGGAGATATGAAGTTGATGGACCCAGCTGGTTTGACGTGACGCATCTGGGCGGATCTTTGGGAGATGATATGATCAGTTTATCGCTGCAACCCTCATCCTCCAATAACCAGTCACCTTAGCATGGAGTCTGGTCACACGAAGAGGTGAACTATTGCAAAGAATTACAGGAAGTACTCTTTTTTTTTTCCTCTTTTTTTTGTCGACTCTTAAAATAATTCCAAAAAGTGCTAGGGGGAAGGGGCTGTACAATCCTTATTTGATTGTCATTATGTACATCACTATGGATACATTAATAAATAAAACAATGTCCAAGAGCATGGAAGTAACATTAAAGGTATACACATAGGAGGTCCCTTCCAGTTTGGGTTTCTGTCCAACCCTTGATTAGAAGAATGAGTGAAGAGAAATGTGTCAGTGTTCAACATCCCTGTCGTCATCAGCATCATCATCATCATCATCATCATCAATCCTCCATGGGTGATCTCCCATCTCTTTTGAAAGAGCGTACAGATGTCTGGTGAGTCAGCAAGAAAACCCTGTGTTCAGCATTCATCTTCAACTTCTCTGATTGGTGGAATCAGACTACTAGTGGATTTGTATTGGTTGACTTGGTTGGCCATGTGAGTGCTCATGGGCTTGATCTGAATGTTCCGTGGGTAGGCATTTTCTGGTTCATCTGTAAACCATTTCTTTTCTGAAGGCAAGAGAGGAAGAAGAGAAGACAGAGTTAGTTTGGAAAAGTATGCAACGTGCGATTACTTACAACCATACTGCCTCAGTTTAAGTGGTAGATTTGCATGGCATTCTTTGTGGTTAGCATCAAACCATGAGGTCCAGTTTAAGTCTGTGTTCCGGTGCATTAAGCCAATTTGAATGTTATGTTGTTGCTGACATGGTGGTGTTGTGTAATCAAGGCCAGCTGATGGATATAATCTGTCAGAATTTACTGTGTGATGAAGTACTCCATTTAAGATAACACAAAAATCATCCTAAGGGTATTGTTCTTTTCCAAAGTGTTACAGGGTCAGGCCTCACAGATTAGAAATGCCTTATTCACTACCTCCTGCTATCTAACCACGCAGATACTTTTATTTTTTTGCCGTAGTTTTATGAGAGATTTCTGATACCATCTCAGTACCACCAAGGAGAATGGAATTTAGTTTGTGTTGCTCACAGAAACAATGTCCCAAACTTTCCATTGAACTGCTTTCTACAAAGGAAATAGTCCTTTAAAAAGTGCTTGACGTAGTTCTGTGGATTATCAAACAGAGATTCACCTTAAGGTGCAAAGCAAAGGAAATGTTAGAAGTGGCACAACTGCTAATTACGTCAATGCAAAGGCACAAGTAGAAGGCAGGAACAGTCATGAGTGCGCCTTGGGCACAAATTGAGGTAAGACACATGCAAACTATCTAAAAAAAAAAACAAAAACCTTCTAAGACTTCATTTTCTGGTTGTATAAAGGACAAAGGAGAAAGACTAAAAATCAAAGATCTTGAGTTCCTGGTGAGTCCTGAGATGACACATACACCGGTTTCGTGGTCCATAGTTTTATGCCCTTAACACTCCAGCTCTCAAATCCACGCAATCTTCAAATTCTGTTTGACCATAATTTAAAAGAGGCATTGTTTCTGGAAAGTTGCTGTAAGTTTTTTTAAATTCTAGTGTGTAAGATTTAGTGGCATCTAGCGGTGAAATTGCAGAACTGAAACTTCTGCCAAGCGTGCAACAGACCTGCGTAGGCCGACAAAAAAATGCAAAAATGTAAATGTCCATATCTAGAGTCAGTTTTTGGTTTGTCCGTTCTGGGCTACTGTAGAAACAACATGGTGGACTCATATGCTTCACATGCAGATATAAATGGCTGCTTAAACACAAATGGAAACATAGTTGTGAATATTAAAAAACATTTCTGCCTATAGATGCCTCTAAATCCTACACACTAGGGGTGGGCGATATGGCCCTAATATAATATCGCAATATTTCAGGGTATTTTTGCGATAATGATATTCTTGATGATATGACGAATCAGTAAAAAAATTAATTTAGGAACACAGAATTGCAACAAAATACGTGATGTAGTTTTACAGTTTGTCGTCAAATATTCAGTAAATCCAAACAAAAATGAACTCTCATTTCTTTACTTTGTAAACAACAACAGTAACTCAGAGTGAGATTCAGATTCTGTATACAATATTAATAGTTCAACAAAATAAAATCTACCACAAATTACACATTTAAACAGCTTTCAAATACAAAAAATGTATCCTTCTTTTAGTAGAATCTTAAATGGCTGAGTTGGGGTTTTTTCACCTGGACCTTTATGCTCCACCATGTCTCCTCTCATCATAATGCTATCACGCATTCACATATATGTAGTTTGTTGTCGAGCTGCGAGCGTCACATAGGTTTACATTACCAAAGGTTTATGACAAAATCACTTTACGACACCGACTCCCGTGTGCGCATGACGTGAGAGCAGAGGAAGAGATGCTGTGCTGCTGCCAGAGGAGCCGCTGAATGAGTTCCCTCTGAGCGGAAACTTGCTAAAAGAGTCTGAGAAGTCCGGGGCTGTTCATAAAACATTCAGGACGCCACAGTTTATTCCACTACTGAAGCTGCTCCTCTTTTTGGAACCCCGAGGAGTCAGTAATCATTTTGTTTTCAGCCATGCTGTAACAGTATGAGGTCAATATGTCAACAGGTCGAAACATCCTGAGTATCACAATTTGAATTCTACATATGACATTAAAAATTATACTGCTATTATCGTGAACGGGATGATATGGCACACCCCTACTACACCATGGTAATTTTTCAGCACTGTGAGCACCACAAACAAAATTCCATTCACATGCTGAGATGGAGGCAGAAACCTCAGAGATAAATACCTCAAAACCTGGGAAAAATACATTTAAATATTTGGATGGTAAGGTACCACTACCATGTTAGATTAGAGTTGTGTTTGTAATTTGAATAAGCTGACCCTTTAAACTAATACCCACCACATTTCATATAAACACTTTACTCTCATGCTGGCAGTCATTATGTGATGGAAGAGATTTGAAACATCCTGATATGTCACTTTAGAGAGACTCTCTTCATGTTTAAGTAGGCTATGAGAGCAGTGTTTCTGAGCGGGCTGTGAGGAAAGGGAAAGGTGTACGCCAGCTGTCAGAAGTTTGTAAACTCTCTCCTAGCACTTCACAGGCATCTGCAATGCCATTCAACATGTCACTTCCTTTTGGGTGAAGTTGTAATATCAAATTTTAACTTTGCTATATGGAGCAAACCTTGTGTGTGCGCCTGTTGGTGTGCCCGCGCGTGCGTGTGTTCATGTACATGCAGGCCTCGCATGTGTGGAGATTCATTTGTGCGGGCTTGTGTGTGTGTCAGCAAGGCTTAAGGCTGCGGGGCCGTGTGTTACAGCACAGGCATTTGATGTGTAGAATTGTGCCTGAGGTGAAGCAAGATGTCTGCCATCTCTCTCCAGAGTCTGCTGCTGATACGGTGAACTCAGTGATGTTGCCTCAAACCACCATATCAGGTGCACAGGGTTACAAGGAGGTAACTTACAGACTCATATCCCCCTTCAATTTAGACTTTAAATTGGTCACACCTCCCACTTTCTTGGTGTGACCGATGGCACAGGGCTGGACACACTTTCTTAAAGTTCTGTGGAGAAGTAAGCAATTGGCTGCATCAGGGGGATTTGAATCAGCCTGACCTACATGTGAGCTGTGATCTGGGTCTGTACAGTCGGGCAACATGTTGTTACTCTGTGATTTATGCTGATGCTGGTACATAATAAACTACTGTACTCAATGAGAGCATAAATATGGCTGTGATCTAAAAGTCTGCTACAGTCATCTTTAAGCATTCAATAGGAGGGAAGATGCGCAAACACACAGACCTCTCACACAATGCAAACCATCTCAAGTTGAAATAAATCATAGGAAGGCATGATGAATGACGGGAAAAAAAACAATGTGAAAAAGGATTTGTCTGGAGGAAAAGAAAACTCATATCATCAAGTGGATAACTGAGGTAAAGGCACAAAGAAAAGAGAGGGGGGAGGGGGGGGGGGTTTCGTCTCAACCTCATGCAATGTGGGGATGGTCCTGATCATGGCAGGGAGGAGGCAGGAGCAGCAGCAGCAGACATTTTGCTTTCCAGACGAAAGCAAAACTTAAACTGAGGCATGGTTTACTTCTGAGGAACGTAATAAATAAAACAAACTCCCCTCGTCATAACAATATCCGCAGAGGACATAGTTATGATCAGAACCCCAGGTAAAGGTTGCTAAGTCATGCAGAATCGTTAACTTGCATACCTTGGCCCATTCTATTCATCCTTGTTGCACTTCAGAGAGAGAGGTAAGTAATCTACTGTAAGTGAGTCGTATTTACAGTCAATACACAACTGACAAATGACTACCAGTCCAACTACTGCTTACATATTACTACTACAGTGTTTAGGCTATATCATACATCTTAATTTTAAGATGTATTGAGGGCTTATCATCTACCGTTTAAAAACTCTCAAGTACGATCATAACAAATCTGCATGCTTTTAGAATATGTCACAATTTCATTATCCAGTTACTGTATTCTCCCAGATGAAACTTAAATTCAAAGGGTATATTTGGGGAGGGAGAATGAAGAGTATATAACATGTAGCTCAAAATATGTCACCAAATTTGATCTTAGAGTTGTATAATAAACAGAACAGGAAAGAGGGCTACCAACATGGACATGCAGTAAAGCAGTAGGCTACAGATGCACCAACAAAATATCAACACTGCTAATGAGGGATGATCTCATGAGTAACAGCGTATCAGTAATGTTAGCCAAATGTGCTTTATCATTAGTGTCAGCTACGGTAGGTAAATCACAAAACAATACATCCATGATCGCGGCGTACTGATCATGTGCGTTAAATGTGCACAAATATCCAACAAACAACAGTTAATTACTACACAAATATTAGGAGTTAGACACAAAACAGCTAAATATTAAGACAGATACAACAGGTAGACTGAACAACATACTGAATGTGAGTCGTGTTGTATTATGCCAATTCATTTGGCTGTGGTTGAGGCCTTTACTGTAAGCCTGTTTCCAACCACAATGGCTGTGCCATCCAAACAAGTGGTTGGACTGTTTACAATGCCACAGACCTCGTTAGTAAGAAAAGACTCTCAAAAGTCTTTGACGACGATAAATGAGCTTTCCCTAGAGTGAGTTTACGAATTTGTTCATGTCATGTTATGACTGCCGTGATGTGAGAGTGAATACCACATGCAGATGATTATGAAGGAAACGCACAAACACTGAGGATGGACGCAAGAGCACGAGTCACACAAACAGACCACAAACACACAATACACAGGATTCATCAGTGCATGTGTCACCACAGTCTGCACACTAACACACACACCTACAAAGTACAGTCAGGTATAGAACACTAAGCATGCAGGATAAGTCTACAGGGCACGTTGGTGCACGTACTTCTGTTTGTCGCGGGCCTCCCGGGTCTTACTGCTGCGGTTCTGCCGGTTGGAGGGCGGGATGGAGTGGACGGAGGAGCTCTTTTTGCTGGAGGAATGGGAGGAGTGGGAAGAGTGGGACAAGCTTGTCCGGGACTGGCCCGCGTTGTGGTCAAACTGCATGAGGCAGAAGATCAGGTCTGTGGGCACGAGCTCAAACTCGTACGGTGGGTTCGTGATCACATACCTGCCAAGAAAACAAGATTAAACTTTTATGATCCTTTTGGGGAAGCAGCACATAGTGAAGGATGCATTAAGGTAAGCGAGGCATATATTGAGCATACTAGAACATTTAAAGGAGCAATATGGATAAATCATGTATGAGGAAAAAAATGTATCAAAACTTTAAAGGTTTACTACGCAGGATTGTTGGTTAGTGTTTGTAAACACGTGCAAAAGTGAAAGTAAAAGCCAAACCCAGATTCGCTCTAGTTTGGTGATTTGTGTCACTATATTTGCTATTTTTGGGGGGGTCTGTATCTCTTGGATACCTGCTACTTACGGTCTGGCAGCTGGTCACTACCATTTAATAAAGCCCTGATTTCACCTGAGTGCTGTAATAGTACACACCCATAAAGGTCCAGAGCACAGAAAATACAGGCAGAGGGACGAGTCTTTGCATAAAAACACAAAGCCACACAGTTCTAGTGGGTCACAAGTGATGACTGAGAAATTGAGAAAGATCTTTTCTGTGTGAGTCTGTGCATTTGATTTTTTGAGAGAAATTCTGCATAGTATAACTTTATGAAAATGTGTGAAATTGCATAGGTTGTACCTCAGGTGGTACTGAGACTACCATTTTCTATAAATATAAACACATGAGTGAATTAAGAAGCAAAAAAATAGATGAAAAATAGAAAATCTAAAGCAATTTAACATACATTTCATTTCCAAATATGGGTTTTAGCTATAAAGAACAATATATGAAGAACATAGCACAGACTCTGATGCTAGCACGAGCAGCCAGCCTCGTCAAGCTACACTTGACCAGGCGTTCGGACGCAAACTGATTAAGTCTACCTGTGACTGACTAACTAACTCCCCTGAAAAATGGATTGCAATGAACTGCAGGCCATTTTTGGTGGTAGAGGAAAAATTCATTTGAATTGAAATTTTTAAATACTTCCACAGTTGATGTTTGCAGATCAACTGTGGATTGCTCTGTTAGATTAATCATCACAGAGATTAAATAGATTGTTTTTTTTATTTGTTTAACAGCCCTAAATCTGGTCTTTAAACTGTACTTGTTTCTGGCCGACCTCATTTGTTTTTGTGTTTTATGTAAAGTATCTGCTGCAATACTACAATTTATCCTCATGACAAATTGTCATTTTATTACATCAAAATCTACATTTTGACACAAAGTGAAGGCGGACATTGTACCGTTTTGTACAGGGGCTCGGTGCATTGAGGTGAGCGTCTCTTAATCTGTAGATTCCAAAACACAGCATGTTGTACGTCTTCAGTGCTTTACAGAATAAATCCCCGTAGCAGCCGCCATCCTGATGAACGACAGAACAGAGACATCACCAGTGAGTGAGTAGGTCAGTCTGATGATCTGGATCAGTGGCAGAAAATGTCATTGTAGTGGAAAGTTGTAGTGAAAATTCAATGCTCTGCATCGCTGAGGGGAATTTGTCTTGCCAGTGAATACCAAATGTGGGCAATGCAGACTGTAACAATCAGCAGTGTTTTAAAACCATGCCATAACTCATCCACGACAAAACAAAATGACTTCGGTATTTGAAGTTCTGAATAACAATAACAAAAACCTGTAAAAACAAGGTTGGAACCAATTAAACTTGGAATTTCCTTGGTGGTGTTCATTGTTCTCTCTAAAGCCTTATTCACTCTCCACCCACTGAGGCCTGCTTTGCGTGATCACTGTTCTTCACATCGGATTAAGAGCCGCGAGGAGCGGAGGCGGCCAGATGTGTGCTGCTGGGTAGTGCCAAAACGTGTCATCTTTGCTTAAACATCCACTTACCCCCAAGTCGGCAAATGGCCCATCGTAGAGGGCGAGCTGGGCGACACGACACCTGTCTCTGTTGGCCAGTGTCTGCGGTGTGCTGTAGCCTCCTCTGAGGGCGTTCTCTTCAGCCAGCAGGGCCTCCAGCTCTGGTGTGGCTCCCCCTGTGACCAGCGTCCGAATCAGTGTGAGGATGTTATCATTGAAGTATGTCTGGGGAGAAGAAAGAGAGGATATCTGTAAGCAGATGCCATTAGAGTCACAAGTAGGGATGTGGCAGATGTGGAAAGAAAGCACAGCCCCTATTATGGCGACCCTCAGCCTGTCTCTTCACATAGAGCTGACTGGGAGATGAGGAAACAAGCCATGGAAGAGGACTCCATTTCTTGTGCACATTCCTATGCTGCCATATTTTCAATAGCTTTACCATGAAAATATTTTCATTCACCTCCAGTGGTATGTAGCCAAGTAGATAGTTATCGTTTAATTTGCTCAGGTTTTTAGATATCTGTCTTTAAGACTTCTGCCTCCACCCAAATACAACAGATGCAAATGAAAATTTGTTTGCAGGGATTTTAACTTTGATTAATTATGTTTGAAAACACTAACAGAGGCATGTTTTTGCAGGATCAGCATCTCTGTTATTCTGGATGACCCAAAGATCTCACTGTGTAAAGTAGGGACGGGAATCAAGAACTGTTTCCACTTAAGAAGCATTTTCTAATTGTCTGATCCATCAGAATCGTGTGCCTCTGAGCTCATCAAATTCCTTAATCAATGCCGGCATTGCAAAATGACATCACACTCAAATGTCTACACTGCTGGAAACTTGCAACAAGTAGGAGTCATGGCGGAGAGGATAAAACGTTTCCAAGTGTGTCTTTATTCCATGAAGAAAGATGACAATAGAGCTGCTTGTAATGTCTGTAAAAAAGATTATTTCAATTAAGGGTGAAACCACCAGCAATATGCTGAAACATCTTTATACGTCTAAATTCCAGGAATGTCATGTATTTGACACTCGACGCACGACTATCACTGCTTTCCAACAGAGCAGCACGTCTGTTATAGCAAGAGTAAATGTTCTCTTATAATAACATTAGTGCCATGCAGGCAGGTGTAGCAGGTTTTCTTTGGCTAAAAAAATCAAAACGAAAACCAAGCCGCAACCTCCAAGGCCAAAAAATGATGAGAATGCAGAGATGCCTAAAAACTGCAGTTCACTGAACGGCCACTTGAGACTGGCTCCAAAACAGAGTCGATCCTCATAGACCCTTATGGTAACATGCCCAACTTTACAGCAGAAAAAAAAAACGTTTACAGCCTTGAACATAAAACAGTTTTGGGCTCTATAGCTAATTTCCCCTTCATGACAGCTGTACTGAGGGGGTATTCTTATATAACTCAACTGTTTACATCTTATTAAGGCCCAAAGTTCTGCACTTTTGAGGGCGAGGCAGCTTGAGTGAAAGGCTGTCTGCAAGGCTTCACCACAGTCTGTGAGTCAGATCCAGCTCCACCCTCTCGTCCAAATATGGGCACCTTTGGTTCCAAAAAAAATAAGATGGCGACGGCAGAAATGCAAACTCAACGTTTCAAAACAGCAGTCCATAAATTGATGGGCGACGTCATGGTAACTACATCCATATCTTATACAGTCTATGAAAAGGAAAACGGTAAAAATATTCTCTCATATTCATGCTTTTTTTTATAAAATTGTATTCAGACCTAGAGATAATAAAACTGTTGTGTTGACGCTTGAACCTATGTCAGCCTACATTTCTTCCGTGGAAAAAAACTGATGAGGAATCAGTAAAGGAACCGATAAAGAATAGAATAGAATCGATAATGGTACTGGTATCAGTTAGGGCTGTCAAAGTTAAAACAAATTTGTTTTAACGCCACAATTTTTTCTGATGCGCAATTAACGCACATACATTGAGTAATTATGACCCTCGGCCAACCCTGTAGTTTGGGAAATCAGGAAGCGATGCAGCAGTAACGTTATGGATGACAGCAGAAACATACGTACGTGAGCAGAAATGGATAGAAGATGTAAGAAAGGCATCTTTTGAATGGCAAGTTCAGCTTTAAAGCCAGTTGGTTCTTTCGACAAGACCAAAGTTATTTGCATTTACTGTCGATGTGAATTGAGTTACCACCAGAGTACATCAAGCTGCTTTAATAAACAGGGTATGTTTAGATAATCTTTACAAGTGTAACAATGGACACTATATTGTGTTAGTATTATTAAGTAATGTTACATTCAAGTCAATATGTCCATCTGTTGTTGCTTGACTTTGCCACGATAAGCTTTCAGCATATTTTGTGAGCATCCAGGACCTTTGAGGTTATTCTGGAGAATATTCTGGACAGTATTTGTCTTTTTTTGGATTGTCACAATAGTAATAAACATACATTTGCATAAAGCAAGCATATCTATCCACTCCCCTGTTGATAGGAGTATTAAAAAGTGAATAATCTCCCTTTAAGGTACATAAAGGACAGATAGGAAATGCATGATTAATTTGCAATTAATCGCGAGTTAACTATTTTAATCAATTGACAGCCCGAGTATCAATAAATTCTATCAATTCCCATTCCTAGTGTAAAGTTTTTATTGGACCTTATGTCTACAAGAGAAATAGTCGTAACACAGTAGCGCTGTCTGTGGATTATCCAGAAAAAGTAACAAAATCAACAAAAGACAGAAATGTTGCTGTTGAATTTCATAAATGTCCCGTCCACTGTTTGAATTCTTTAGAGATCTATCTGCATGACTATCCACCACTAGATATAATATCATATGATATATAAATTTGCTGAACAATCCTTTAGTTATTCACTGTAACAAGTCTCTCATAAGGTTTAAGATACATTAATGTGTCACTTTTGTCAAACATTGACACTTTGATAATCATAGTAAATTCGGAATCGTCATGTTAAATAAAACAGGTACTTCAACACAGCACTATTCTTTCCTCTAGTAAGCCCGATCTACACACTGCATGATGTCTGCCTCTGAAACGCCGATTTGACTGCTCTCTGCGGGTGTCAGGTTCTCTTGTCCTTCAAGCCGATCAGGAGCTGCTTTTGCCTCGTGTGAAGACAGCCGATGTCACTCGGCAGCCGAGCCGAGTGGCAGCTCCTCTCCCCGGGCCCCTGACAGGCCTGCAGAGCCTCATGATGGATGAGCACTGTCCATTAGTTGGCTTCACCTCTGACCAGTGCCAGACTACAGCTGACGCCTGCTCTACTCCCCGCTCAGCCGGGCTCCTCACACCCCTCTAACCCCTCACTCTCTGAGAGGGCTGCTAGAATTAAGCCATCACAGCACCAAAGGGAAAACCACTGTTGGTCATGAGCTTGGGGGGGGGGCGCAGAAAAATGAGGTGTAGAAGAGGTTTTTTTTCCAGAGGTGTTTTTTTTTTCTTATCTCCAGTGCAGCAATGACATGAACAGATGAGTGCTTCTTTGGCCTGTTAAAGCCAAGCCTGTGTCATCGCCATGACACTAACCTTTATTAAAATGTCTAATAAGGCTCTTGAAAGTTGAATTCATAATACTTAAAATGAGGTTTGATGCCAACAACTTACATTTCGATGTCAGTGGAGCAGCAGTTTAATTTACCAACTTCTAACAACTTTAAATGCCCAAATTTTGTATCTACTGAACGTCCCCTAAAGTTCCCCCCTTTTCTCTACTGAGGGAACATTTAAAGAAACAGTGTGGAGGATTTAGTGGCATCTAGTGGTGAGGATTGCAGATTGCAACCAACTGAAACTTTTCTGTCATGATTCCTGCAGTGTTCATTGTACAGGACAGTGGTTTCCGACTGGTGGGTCGCAGTCCAAAAGTGGGTCATGGGTCCATTCTGAATGGACCGCAAGTGACTCGCTAATGTGTCAGGTTTGTTAAAAAACACACTTTATTTTGAAGTACAGTGAATATGTGCACAGTAAAGTGTGATTTCCTGTTGTAGAGTAAGTGAATAACGGACAGCTACTTGACAGAGACTGCAAATTAGCTCAACGACATGGCCAAACGCAAGTATGACGCTGAATATTTTGTAATATGGACCTTGAACTAATGACTCTGTGGCTGGACCAGTTGGGAACCACTGGTTTAGGAGGTTTTTACAGGGAGCCAATAACATGCAGAGGTCTCTTCCTCTCCCAAACAAACAAACCTGCTGATTTAAACTGGTAAAAACACTGAATTAAGTAGTTTCACATTGCAAATCTGTCTCTCTCAGATGCCGTTCAGCTCATTGCAGATGGGCCCTTAGCTCAGCACCTGCTAATGTGTGCTCATCTTTTTACTCTGATAAATTAAGATCCAGACGTTCAAGAGGTTTTTACTGGGAGCTGAATTATTGACAGAGGTCTCTTCCTCTCCATATAAAATGGGCCCAGTGCTTTAAAGCGGTAAAACAGGGAATAAAGCAGTTTCACATTAATAAAGCTGTGTATTTCAGTCACTGTGAAAGGGCTGCAAACCATGGTGGCTGTGGCAAAAATGAAATAACAAGAAAGGCCATGTCTAGAGCCAGTCTTTGGTTTGTCTGTTCTGGGTTACTGTAGAAACATGGCTTACTCCATGAACAAGGATGAAATGAAATCCTACACACTGAACCTTTAATCTCACAGTCTGACACTGGCTGCTCTGTAATTGTAACTGTCTGAAAAAAATGTTTTCTTTTGGTACTATAAACTTGGATATTTGAAATTAGGTTTCGTAATTGAATGTGAAATACCAGAATAAGTCACCACAGAAGCAAAAGAAAACAGGATTATCAGCAACATGCTAGGGGTACTGCCTTCTATACTATTTGCAAGTCCATCATTCGAGGCTGACTCACTTCAAAGTTGCTCACCTTCTTTCCCTCATCCTGAAGTTTGTTACCAGTGCAACAACATGCAATTGTTACCCAGTGGGCACAGCATCTCCATGCACTCTGTGTGAAACTTCTCTCTACTTTCTGCTTTTTGAAATTCTGAATATGACTCTGTTATAGCATCCAAACACCAAATAACCAGGAAATCAAAATTGTTGCAAAATGTATGATTTTGAAAAATGATTCTGATTTTTTTTTTTGTTGTTGTTGAAAAACACTCTGACACAGCGAGGGTGAAGCGCGTTTGAGAACTCACCGCGCTCATCAGGGAGTCGAGTACACTGACAGCGAAGGCGGTGCCGCAGGCGAATGGCTGAGTGAGGTACAGCTCTGTGTCTGGGTCGTCATCATCATCTTGGTCCAGGAACTGAACGTTTGAGTCGTTCACTGAGAGAGGGGAGGGAGGGAGTTAGAGACGGGCACTGTGAAGAGGCATGAGCCAAACACACACACACAGACACCAACACACCTGAGAGTTCACAAATATGGAATATTTTTGTGTACGTTAAGTTACATTCGAGAAGATTTGGAAATACTGCGGTAATGTAACCAAAACGTCTCAGGTATATAAGCACTGATCCACGCTTGCAATATAATGTAACATCAGATGCACATTATATTTTTATTCTACAATTCAGCACATATTTCTATCACTATAAGATTAAAACTTTTTCTTCCCCAAACAATTCACATTTTTTTGACTGACCTAAAAATACTGTCGACTGAATTACCTTACAGCCAGTAACAAAATAAACTACTACTGTTACTTGTCCTTTTTTGTCCGTGCACTGCATAATTGTTTGGAAGGTGAAAAAAGTGTTATTGACTTGTTGATAAATTATTCAGTATTTTGAATATTAAATTTATATAACATGCAGGGTGCATTTAGTACATTAAGACAAACCACGACTTAAGGAAAAATATTTAAGTATATTACGCATACACAGTGATAACCATTGTAGAAGTCCCCAATTCTGAATAAACCATACATCTATCCTACATTAGTGCTTCAGTAGCCACTGTATCTTGGTATATTATGCACACACACACACAGACATTCTCAGTCAAGTGACAGCGACCAGTCTGTGTGGTCTGTGTAAGGAATAAAGTGATTATTTTTCCTTTAAATATGATTAAAAAGTGAGACTTCAACAATGGCTAATATGTCACGTGAGAAAACCATGCACTTAGAAATCCATGCTATGTTTTTCAGAGTGTTCCATGATAAATGTGTTTGTCACATCATCACCTTTAGAGGAATACATTTTAAATAGTTACCTTTGGCCTGAAAGTCAAATTAAAGCCAGGTGACAACACGCTTTCTTTTTAAATCTGGTGATTTATAATAAATTAGATCTGCTAAATAACCGTAATGGCACAGTGTAAAGGAAAATAACTGCAAACTGAAATGGCAAAGATATTTTTTGCCTCTCAATTGATAGAGGAAAATACACAAAGTGTTGGATATAGTGTGTGTCTTTTTTCTCAGACTGTGTCTCTAGCAGCAGCAGTGGGCAGTGAAGGGTTTAAGAGCCAGTGTTACTTGGAAAAACGAGCATCACACAAGTTTTTGTTTGACTCCTCCGATATCTGAGCTTCAGAGATATGGTCTGGAGGAGAAAAAAAAGAAACTGGAAAATAAATTTAAAAAATAAATAAACAGCGTAAAAGATGGTTTGATCTCTTTTTTTTGTTTGTTTTTTGAAATCTGATTTCTTCCCAGGCTTCCTGTGCACTGTGGAACAGAAATGTCAGTCAAAGAGACAAGGGGCTGATGCAAACGGGCCTGGGCCAAAGGAGTGAATTGAAGAGAGGAGGGGAGTGGATGTGTATGTATGTGTGCGTGTGTGTGTGCGTTTGGAGGAAGAAGGAGTGGGGGGATGAGGGGCAGAGGGGGGGTGTTGCTATGAAAACAGCCACAAGGACAGACTGAGCATGATCAAAAGCCTAGCGATGCTCTGCAAACGCAACTGGAGGGGAAAAAAAATACCCCTAAAACAAAACAAACAAAAAAAAAAATCACTAAAAAAAGGGGCCAAAACAAGACAGTCAATTTCAACCAGAACGAAGAATAAAAATGTGTTCAAAGTGAAGCCATGGGAGCAGCGAGGGCCTTGACTGCAGCCAGATAAATCAAGACAAGCTGATGAGGAGCAGAGCGGCGGAGCGAGGGAACGAACGGCAGCAGAGGACAAAGGCTCGGCTTACCCAGCTCTGTTATCATTTGTATGTTGGTTCCACTTTTTTTTTCCTGACTGAGTGAAACCAATGGCAGTAGTTTGCCAGGTTTAGCTAATGGTGATGAGACAGTGCAGGGAAGGGGAGAAATAATGTTGTTATTGAAACAGTTTCAAAGACTGCAATAAAGGCATTCCGCTCTACTCCTGTCAACTCTGGGATTTACTCATGGTTGTCCGGTATCTACGAGTAAAGCACCCCGGATTAGAGTGCACAGTAGTTATAAAGCCAGCGCTGTCACACTGCTATACCACTACCAACAACAATAAATTACTTCACAGTGAGACAGTGAAAGGGATAAACATGGTCTTATCCATAAGCACACCTACTTTACACGCCACGCAAGCAAAATTGATCATGCAACTCAAATGAGGTGTGTTTTCACATTCCAACTAGACTTTAATCTGCTCCTGGCGCTGCAAACTGAACATATGACAATGTAATTACAGTATATGGTTCCAGTGAGACATGCAGCCACTCTCTGTTCTGCACGCTGGAGCTTCTAGCGTCTGAGTCCAGGACAGAAACCAATGACTCCAACATGGATAGCATCTAGTTTTGATGATTACGTATGCGGTCAGCAGTCTAATGGGAGAGCCTCTCTGCAGGTAATGGCTGGCCCGGTTACAAGTAACATTAGGTAGCTCCTTTCTCTTTCTGGCCTTTTCTTAGCTGGCCTCATGCTCCATTGCTCCCTAATTGGGTCAGGGGAGACAGAGTAGCCAGTCTCTGGTGCTTTAGAAGGCCCCTCAGAGATCTGAAAGTTTCATGAGTCCCCACCACCAGTGGGAATACAGCCACTGCCATTGTTATTAATAAATGGACCCATTTTGCAACCAAGGCAGTTTTTCCCCTCTACCTTTTCACTCTCCTCTGCTCTCACCCTCTCCATCAGGCTGAGTTTCTCTTGTGCATTAGTGGACAAATTGCAGGAGATGTAGCTATAGTCCTCAAAATGCCTGTCTGACATTCTCAAGTTACAGTTGTCCACATTGTCCTCGGGGCAGAGATTTTTTCCAGTCCTTGCAGCTAACATTATCACCACTTGACAAAAGCTAGCCAGATCCAATAATTCACATACCAATATGAACTTGAGTTGGGCAAAGCTACCAGCACCATGAAAGTGAACAAAAATTCCACAACACGCATTCCTCAAGTCCATTTGACCTTGAATGAGTTGGAACTTTTGGCAGCAGCATGACGTTCAAGTCTGGGATTATTGGCTCTATGTGTCTATGTCCGCAAATGAGCAATGAGTTGATCTGAGGTTATTGGATATGGCATGCAGTGTTTGCATTTCAAGTGGGTGTGAACAGCTTTACCGAGTTCTGTGATGATGGGGATGTTGGATCCGGTGGTGACAGAAGCCTGACGCACAAAGCCATGTACTGGACTGCTGTCTGGAGATGACCTGTCCATTCCAGGAGGCGTGAAACCTGAAACCACAGACAGAGTGATATACTGTACCTCAGCAAGTAGCACAACAAGGCGGCATTAAAGGGACAGTTCACCCCCAAATCCAAAATACATATTTGTCCTCTTACTTGTAGTGCTATTTATCAGTCTAGATTGTTTTAGCATGAGTTGCCAAGTTCTACTATTATTGGCTGTAGAAGTGTCTACCTCCTCTGGAATATAATGGAACTAGATGGCACTCGGCTTGTTGTGCTCAAAATAATACAATTTAAACACTCAACAGCAATGTCTCTCTCCAGCAATCAAGTCCCAGTTACTTAAAATAACCCACAGACTTTGTTGTGAGCAGATTCAAACTACCAAACTACACCCGCCAACCGTATCACATTGCAGAAGGAAGCCCCATGGACAAGACACTCGTGTTTGACAGCCCAACATTACTGACGTCCTCCTCAGCTGAGGTGTAAGCTAACATTAGCTAACTCAGTGGTGCTTGGTGAGCTAGCAAAAGATGTGTGCCTCCCTCTGCGCGATAATACGGTTAGCGGGTGTAGCTCATTAAAAAGAAAGTAGTTCCTACATAAAACTACTCACAACAAGGTCTGTGGATTATCTTGAGTAACTGCATCATGATTTCTGGAAAGAGACGTTGCTGTTGAGATTTTCCAACTGCACGTTTTTGGCGCTTTGAGCACCACAAGACTTTCATCTAGTTCTGTTTTATTTAAGAGAAGGCAGACATCTCTATGGCTGATATCTCCAAACCTCAAAAATTCACATCACAACAACACAAGACTGATGATTAGCACAAGAGTTAAGAGGAAAAATATGTATTTTTGATTTTGGGTTGGACTTTTCCTTTAAGAGATCTCCTCGATCCCAAAAAGGCAGAGAGCAGTAACAACAGAAGCTGTCAAGGTGAGGAAAAAAGGGTTAAAAGATTGAGATAAACTGCACAACAAAAAAAAGTTGGTAATTCCTTCCTTTGCCTTTTCAGACTGATTAATTTACCCCAAAATTAATTTCCGTAGATCCTACATTATATGTAAAAACACAGTTACTGCACTGTGACTTCAGAGAAAGTGACAGTTACTACCTAAAAAATGTGCTCTTTCAGCTTTCCTGTCAAAGTGACTTTTTTGTTTCCACAAAAAAAAAAAATTTTAATTTTCATTATTTAAGTTAATAGTATTTAAATATATCTTTTTATTGCTGTGTTTCTGTTTGTCCTTCTAAAATATTAGTGTTGAAATCAATAAGATGAATTAATTTACAATTAATCTAATTATTCCCAATCAAATAAAAAGCTAAAAATGGCAGTTACTGAGGTTGTGCTGAGCTAGTTAGCTTTAGCATATTGTTTTTTCCTCCATCATGACTGCATTTAGTAGCTATTGTGTCATTTAGTTGCGACTGAATTACTTATATGAAACTTCATGAAAATGAATATTTGTCAAGATAATAGCAGGTGGGAAATCTAGCAATATTCCTTATATTTAGGTAAGGGTAGCTGTGGTTATCACATAAGCTAGCTTTAACTTGATATCATAAGACAGAATAGCGCTTTTGTTGTTTGGCGTTGCCTTCTGCAACTCTGATATGCTGTTTCTCAGAAATTGGCATGGCAGAATATTTAGTAAAACCGATGGGAAAAAAAATCTTATTTTGGTCTTTAATCTTTTTTTAATGTTTTTAAATTACTATGTTTTTGTGAGGCAGTACAGTATATTGTGTTTTTTGTTCTAGGTAAAGAAAAATACAGCCCATGCAAAAACCTGCATGTCTCAAAGGGCTGACCTGCAGAAGTATCACAAACACGAGGATGTGACCTGGAATTCTGTATCAATACCATTATACATAGTGCATGTCAGCTCACTCAGCATAAAGTTGTTCATGAGTGCTTCCTGTGTCATTCAATCGTGTGGACTGACAGAAAAAAAGGAAGAAGAAGGAGAAGGCTAAGTGAACGAGGCACCTGCCTAAAACTGCGATCCGGAACTGGTGCTTTTAAGGGTCAGCTGAGACATATTTAGCATTCACATACCTCCATCAACGGGCAGACATAAATTTTATATGTTGTTCATTTTGTTACAATAAAATTGGTGAAGTGGATCCGGAAAACCTTTTATCAGAGATGGCGTGGCGCAGGACCGTGAAATACAAGTGCAAGTGACAGGAGTATGAATTCACATGACTTCACATTTTTGCATTTCCTCAAAGTGACAAGTAAACACCTTAAATCTGTAATGCTATATGCATAATGCATCAACTGTGTTTTGACATCCATCATTTAGTGCTGACTATTGCAAAATGCCAGCAAATAGTGCCACCACCAAGGAAACATAATGCAGGGAATATATTCAGGTCACAAAGTTTTAAAAGGATTGCAAATTCTCTACGTATGTGAGAGTGTGTGTGCTTTCCCTGTCAAGAAACTCAATGAGCTGCTTACATTACAAAAGAGATCTTCTAGCCCTTTGCAACGGAAAAAGACACCAAATAGTTTAGTACACGGGGGGAAGCACACACTGAACTGAAGCATGGGTAATCATAACTCTTGTTATACCAATTATTGAACTTGGAAATAGCAGAGGTTTGACACCGCGAGTCAACCAGGGAGCACGAGCTCAGACAGTGCAAACATCATTTTGTCGATGTCCATAAAGGATGACGTTTACTCCGCTGGAGAGTGACAGCAACTTTTTTTGGATACGGCCTTTAAAACAGTGCTCTTATTGTATCATAGTGAACATGAAGACAGTGCGGAGCTGTAGAGGAGCCGCTTCCGTTTTGCGCAGTGTGTACAGCAGAAAGTGAGCGAAACACAAGGCCTGCTGCTGAGCGGCTTTCAAAACCTGTTAGGTTACAAACAGCTCAAGAGTTGCAATGTGAGCTGGTGAGCTCCAAACAGAGAGCTGTATGTCTTCGTAAGATGGAGCAAGAGTACTGCAAAAACCAGAGGAGCTAAAATGTGTTCACAGTAATCTTCTAAAAATAAATGTATGTCTGTGACAAATAAAATATTCCTGTATCTCTTCATGTAATTAAACCTTGAGACCTTGGGCAAAAAAATCTGACTACTGTGCTTCTCTAATCTTCTTAATTAAGGAAATATTGAATGTTTTTTTTTTAATTGTCTTTCATAACTGGTATATACTGGTAATGTTAAATTTACGCAATTAACACATATTTTCCAAAAGCAGAGAAGCCAGAGTTTAAACACTACCCTGATCACACACACACACACACACACACACACACACACACACACACTCCTCTTCTGGCTGACTGTGGGGCTGAAACCGCGTCTGTTCTGCTACAATGTACAATAGACAAGTGAGATCTGGGTTACATACCCCCTTATCCCTGTAGCCCCCCGGGCACAGCTGTGCTCTGTGGTTGACTACATGCTACAGAAGCCGTGAGAAGCTCTCCCCCAGGAAAGCGCATGTTTACTTATTCATTTGCACCTTCTTGTTTTAAATTCCACAGACAGTGTCTGAATGGGAGCATCGCTAGGAGGAAGGAATCCCCAAAGCAATACCTATGATACAATAGCGGTGTCTGGGAATGTGCGCGTGTTTCCTTGTGTATGCATGATTGCACGTCACTGTGGTGTGTGTGTTTTCTAAAGTGAAGTATTTATCACTGAAATGGGTGGTTGATGTAAGACCCAATTATTGATGACAATAGGCTCCATCCATCGACCCTGGGAGAGGATAGAGGCTAGTGGGCTTCTATATTGAGGTGGCTTTCCGTGAATACTGCTCCCCAGAGCGGCGTGCTCTAAGATTTACCCCTGCTTATTGTTCCTCGGTGGCACCGCTATCGACAGCACATCACTCACTCAAGGCTGGAGAAATAACAGCATTGGCATTCTCCTAAAACATGTGGAAGTGCTCTGCACTAAAAAATAATGGCCTCTTGGACCTTCAACTTTGATTTGTATTTACAACAGTCAGTGTGGTGGCACTAAATAGTACTGAGCTCAAGGCATGTCATGCCTTTCGGGCTAATCATAAACTGAGAAATACCTGTTTGTGGATGTGTGTGGATAGATTGCATTGGCAAAAATGTGTGTGTGTGTGTGTGTGTGTGTGTGTTATGTGTGCAAACACGCACGCATTCCAACACGAAGGTACGTGCGTGCATGTGTCGCTGTTTTGTTGTGACTAATGAGGAGCAGCTGAATTGGCCTGCCTGGTGATTTGTACTAGCTGCTTAATGATGATGAGGCCTGATGGGATGCCAGGTTCGTGTGTTTGTCTGCAAACATCAACAATCTGTTCCAGACGATCTGCCAGACACCAGATCAGGGGGAACAACATCAAATGACACAGTCATGTTGATTACATCATTAAAAAGTATTATCAAGGAGGTTTAGCAGCATGTAATTACCAGGGACAAGACTGAAATCATCAGAAAATTACGTGTAACAAACACTCTTCAAAGGCTTGATGAAGCAATCAACACAATGTTTTGTGTGCGCGCTTCTTCAGGAGTACAATAAAGTCAGTTTATACATGCCACTTACCACATACTTACAGAGTATTTCAATTAGGAGCACTTAGCAGACTCTGTGCTTGACAGACTACATCCATCCCTCCTGTGTGGCCTTCTCATTTCCCCCCCAATCTTTTCCTCCCTTCTTTTTCCCATCTTTGACTACAGCCTTTCCTCCCTGCCACAACCTGTCCCCTTTGGGCAGCAGTGCACATGGAGTGTAATAGGACGCTCCTTACCTTGGGAATTAGCCTGTAAGACCCCGATGCTGTCATCAAACTGCATAGATTTGATGTTGAGTGATGCCAAGATGCATTCCTTATCCTGTAGCGAGGCATCTTCGATATTGTTCTGATTGGCTGACAGTATTACGCACATGTCGCAGAGGTTGATGTTGACAGCCCTTAAATCTGCCCGACTTAATGGCGTACCCTTCAGGGTGAGAGGAACAGAGAGAAAGAGCAAGACAGAGAGGGAGAAAGCAAAACGCAGAGCACAGACAGACATAGGGGAGAGAAAAACAAATTTAAGAAGTGAGCGGAGTGGAGCTTTGGGAAATTAGTTAACAAGTATTCTTGTTTTGAGGCGATGACATTCCACTGATCTAACTGGGCACTGGAGAATCAGAGACATGGACTAATCTAAAGGCTAGCCTGCGCTGAGGGCTGTGTTTGGGATTCTCCTCTGATCATCAGTCAAGCCAGGCCTAACAAGCTCTAAGGCAGCAATGCACGCCATCTGTGATGGGCACTGCAGCTGCAACACACATAAACTCCATTTTGGATGTGCAGGATGTGTCACTGCTCTGGATGAGCGGGGCTGACTACGCTCTCATGGAGTGATCATTCAATTGAGTAATGTGTGATCAAATCAAACTGACAATCCCTCTCAGGATTTCAATGTGCATCTAACTCAAAATGTCAATGCCTTGTTAGTTGAAAAGAGATTCTGGTTTAAATGCATCTCCCACGGCGGCGGACTGGTACACTCACCGGTAAGATGGAGACCTTGGGGAAGTTGTGTAGAGTCTCCCACTCTCTTCGCAGGTAGTCCAGCGAGCCCACAAATACTATAGGCTTTAGCTCGTGGTAATGGAAGTTGCTGGCTCTTAAAGGCATCACCAAGTTTCGCAGCCCCACTAAAGCGGACGTGACATCCCCAAATATACAGACCACCACATGGCCGCTCAGTACTGTCATGGAGGCTTCACTCCGGGTCTGCAGGGAACAGAGGGACACAGGGGAGGGGGAGAAGAGCAAAGAGAGGGATGAGGAGGAGTGCAGACAGAGAGGAGAGGAAAGAAATACACAGAGACAAACACAGAGAAAGAAATGAGTGCTGTTAACAAAAAGCCGGTTAATGTGCATGAAGTCACACTCTTGGTTTTAAGCATGTTTAAACGTCTCTTATAAACTGTTATAAACCCAAATTAAATAGTTTGTTAACCAAATATTTAGCTGAATCTTATATTTGATCCATAATAAATACCCTACTATTTACACATATACAAAATTTTGGTTAACCACTATTCTGTTTATAAGCAGTTTATTGGATAATCCGAAATAGGAAGTTTACAGAACAGAAACACAACATGTGGCCTTTTTTTCAAAGGGCAGCTGATTCAACCACGCTGAAAAATGCAGTTTGTAAGATTTTAGGCACATACAGTATGTATGACTAGGACCCTGTCATAAATCAGAGAGGTATAAATAAACAAAGCTCCTCTATTGTGTGACGTTTGCGTTGAAAAAAGAACGATGCAGTGCCCTGCTTTCAAGATCTGACGCCTGTCGCAGCGGCTTGATGTGCATTCGATCACGAGTTTGAGTGTATGTTAAGTAAACTAAACGCTACTATGATCCCAGTTGGTTTGAAACTAAAAGTGTATCTTTGTTTATTGGAGACATGAAGTAAAATGAAGAGCATCGCTGCTGTAAATGTCTGGATACTCTCAGGGGCGTAGCACCAAATTCTGGGCCCTGTGCATGAGCAATCGCTGCTGCACAAGATAAATCTAAGTGCAAGGCCAGACTAAACCATTTTGCACCTTTTCCAAGGGGTGAGACAGCCTCAGAGAGCTTCCACTATTTTTTTTAAATGCAAAATTCAGCCTGTCAACTGATTTATTCAGCCAATTTTAATCAACATATGACACTTATTACTTAGAAATAAAGATTTGAAAGCAAAACCAGACTTTTCATTAGTCTTTTAAAGGGACCCCCTCCCATTGGGGCCCTCTCCCCCGACTGCAACGCCCCTTTCTGCCGTGTTTGGTGGATTAAGCATCTGCCTAGAACATTTTTTGCCAACCCAACCCTTGCAGGAACATCCTTCCCCCCTCCCTTAAACCAATTAAAGCAACAAATATGCTTTGCACCTTGTATTTTACGTTTGGCTTAGACGGGGTTAACGCTGCCCAGACAAACTGTGCACTAGCATAAATGCTTACAAACTGCTGTGTTAAAACATTGGAGCAAACCCATGCGTGGAGTGCTGAAATGCTGTTCACAGATCCTTGGTGGATACATATAAAAAAAAAAAAAACAACAAACTCACCTTGAAACAACAGAGAGGCAGTGAGAGAAATTTCAATACATATTAGTATGTGATTGTGTTACTACAATATTGAGGGGAAACTTTGGCCTCTGACCATACTTACTTTAACTTTTTTTATTTTATATTCTGATATATGTTAGAGGTTTTGCAGGTGCATTGTTGTTTCACTCACCAGGATGACTTTCTCGATGTCCTTTGATGGGCACCAGTGAAACATCCCTGTCGAGTCATACCTCTTCACGTTCATGTCCATGCTCTCGATTTGTTCATTTCCAGGAATTAGAAGGGGGTCGTGTCGACTGAGAAAACAGAGCAATTTATTTATGTTGGACCATTTTGTGAAATGACTGCAGCCTTGTGGATGAAGTGGTTACATGAAAGAGGCTGCAGACCACCTGGGTTTCTTGAGACTGACACTGTTCACACAACTTATCAAAAGTCCATCACATTCTCAGAGTGTTCGACTTTCTACTGCATACTGTAGACCCCATAGCTACCATATCATTCCTCCATCCCTTCTTGTCCTTGATGTCAAGTCATCAGAAAACTCAAAGACCCTGGCACTTGCAGTGGTGCAGAGAACAGCAAGACTTGAGTGCTACTGACTGAATGGCATGACAACACAAGGCCAATTACCAGCTTTTACCCTCTCTTCCAGCTCCTGACGCCATGCGGCGCAAATAGTAAAAGCTCCGACAGGCTCACACTTTAAATATTTCAGGAATTTGCCCAATCACATTTTGCTTTCCCAACTGATGGCCATTAATGTTTCAACAGCATGTCACAACCAAACAGGCTAATCCACAGCAGTGGGCTGCTGAGTTTTATCCGGTGTAACACTGACCATGAAAGGGCTCCTGTCAGTCCTGTTATCCCGCCTTCCTTGTTCTTGCATTTATCCTACAAGACGTGTTCTCACAGTTCCTTTAGAGGCAATCCAGAAAATTTCATCCAAAACACTGAGTCAGGGTAAACAGCAGAAATTTAGTGCTGCTCCTCAATAAACACTGCTTGTTTAACAGCGATGCAAATGTAATTTATTTACAGTCCAACCCAAATAATGAAATCACCGCTTAAAAAAGCACTATACAGACTCCCAAAACAGGGAACTGCAGAGAGACAGACATTTGAGTAATATGGGAGAAAACATCTCAAGAATTTGACATACATCTCTCTCAGTATCACTCTCTCTATCCTCTATCAACACTGTCATTCACTGACAAGGCTTTGATGTTGCCTCTTCCTTCAGCCTGCATTTGGGTTGCATGCCAACGCAGGAAAAGTAAGAGCAGAAAAAAAAAAAGCTGTCAATTAGCCACCCTCTCTCTCCACCTCTCTTCCCTCTATCAGTTAGTGCAGGTGATAATAACACTGACAGCATTTAGTGTTTTTACACTCAGCCTGAATCTTTCATCCAGAGCCGCGTGTTGCGCCAATCAACTCCACAGAGCCCCCGTCACTTCAATCTGCTCAGCTCTGCTCGCCTCCACACAGGGGCTGACTGGCGCATGCAGGCGGGCTGCCGCTCCAGCTCTCTCTGCCAAGACAGCTATCTTTCACAGAGCTGTCAGCGGTGTGACTGGCAGCCTGTCACAGGCTCCACACACCTCCTTCTCCCTCTGCCTTCTCCCTGCCTCGGGTTGAACCTACCACAAGACTCGGGGAGAGCAGACATGACGTCTGTGCCACAGTGCCACGCCCAAGGGATATCAGCTGCAGATGATGCCGTGACATCTTTCCGCAATTGGATGCATGTTGTCAGTCATGACCCGTCAAAAAGGGTTTGTGGGGATGGTGTTAATGCCATGGTGGCGATGCGGCTTGTTAGCACGGTGACACGTCAGATTGGCAACTTGGAAATTAATAACACAGACACGCTGGGGATAGGTCAGCCAGGATGCTAAGCGTGATTAAATGTCAGTGTTAAAAAAAACACATATTAATTACTAAATACATTTAAAGAATATGTTATTTCTACCTCTTAATTTGTATTAATTATTTGGAAAGTATGTCCTTTATTGGAAGTTTCCCCTCCAGAAATAAATGTACAAAATGTCAAAACTGAATAAATTCGCAGTTCAGAATGCAAAGCAAACATTTTCCCCGGGTGAGATACAGTATGCACTTTTATATAGGACAAATATTTCCCTTACAGCATGTCTCACACCAGTGTCTCACCCTCTTTTCTTTCTTCCTCCCTCCCTCAGTATATATTTCAAACAGAGTTGAGTTATTCCAGTGTATCACTCTGCAGTCACAAGCTGGGGATGGGCGTGCTCCCCCAATCCCTCTCTGCCAGACTACGAAGGCAGCCTCTTGCTTTGAAAATTTTCCCCATCATGCAAACTGACAAAGGCATGCTTTTCAAAAGCCCACAGCCAATCTGTTGATCATTATTTATTTACAAAGGCCTTCAGGCTGCAAGTCCTGTAAAAACCATACTTGATACGTATGCTCGCTCTCTTGCTAGCTCTCTACTGTGTTCTCCCCCTCCTTGCTTGTAGAATAAAGTATCCCTAAGGCTACCTCAAACAATCACTTTTCATTGTGCATAAAATCCACCTTGTAAAGCACAACTGTTTAATATATATGGTGTTATATGTTGACGGGGGCAGCCGTGAAGGGGGGCTGTGGACTGTGATGGGTAATTTGATGTTTTGCTGAGGGCTAAGACTGGGAAAAAAAATCTACACCTATAACAGAGGACCTGTCATCCCAGTACCCAAGAGCCAGCAGAATACAGAAGCACCCCTAAAGCAGAGAAAACTTTGACACCGCTTTGAAGCGTTTTCAAAACTGAGTAAATAACTCGCAAGAATTATTATCACTGTGAGATCAAAGCAAAGATGCATATATTACATGGCAAACAGGGACCATCTCCTAAGCAGAAAAGGAAGAGAAGAAAAGGTTTTGTGCTTTAAGTTAGGCAAACTAAACAGCCTTTTAAAACAAGCAGTTAGCTGGAAATGTGCCAATGTCTAGTTGTTTTTGTAGCAGTTTTCTCCCTCTGAGCAAGGGCATCCAAAAATGATGCTCTGTTGCAAACTCGACTGAAGGGTATGACTCTGTGTTGGGCTAATGGTTCGGCAAGTGTGAAGGCTTATTAAATGCTTGTTTTGTGGAGAACTGAGGGGGAGGCCGACAAGTATACTGGACAAAATCACATAGGCATGTCAGTGCAGTAGGAGGAACTCTGCCTAAGGGAAGCTAGCAGGACCAACATACAAAGAACTCCACTAGAATGTAAGGAAAATACAAAACAGTGCAATAATGACCAAAAACAACATGTGAAAAAAGATCAAAAAGTACAAAACTAGTTTATATTTGTTTGCTTTTTGGCAGGAATTAAACTATTTCTATGTAACGGCATTTTTGCTTTAAGGAATTTCATTAAAAAAACATGATTTGGAGTTATTTATTTTCTATTCAGATGCAGGAGTTGCTACTGCAGTGCAGCTTCACTGCGTAAATACTAACGGTGACAAGTGTGTGTGACAAAAAACACACAGTCCTCTCTTAAGATTTTCCCATTGTAAAGTCATAGAGATGACAACCGTAACACTTACTCTCATTAAGAGCAGGCCAGCGTAGCTATGAGTGTTCCTGTCCTGTTAGATCTTCCCCACCATGCCTTTATCCTGCCGTTCCAATCCGCACAGCTCGGCCTCCCTGTATTTTCCACGCTGTCGTGTTGCTAACCCCGCCTCGCAGCCGGAGGAGCACACAAACCTACCCCCTTTTATCCTTCAAAATCAATTAACAGCAATTTAATTCCACGGGACAGGATAAAAGGAAGGTAATATTTGAATTCATATTTGATTGTGATGATACATCTCACATATGGCCTTAAGTACCAGAAACAGTACTCACAGGGGTTCCCACAATAGAGGAGTAGCCTGAGGGCAAAGTAACCATGCAGGTCCCTCTGATTGGTTGCCGGTGTCATTAGTGCCAGCATTGTTTAAGGAGCACATGTGGACCAGACCGGAGGAGGTGACAGCTGGGACTTTAAAGCCAGAGGAGTTTTCAAACGGCTCCTCACAGCCGCTTTTCATGACAGAAATATTATTTCAGCTCTGTCATTAACAGCTGACAGCATGCCATCCTAAACAGCCAGAGCCTAACAGGGCACTTCTCCTCTCTCTTTCTCTCACAGAGTTTCTTACCTCCTTCTTCTGCCACCCCTAATTTGCCCCCTCCCATCCATCCAAACTCCCACCATCTCACCATCAGCAGCATCCGCCTCTGAAGTATCTCTCACACGCATCCCTCCATCCCTTCCTCCCTCTCTCTGACTTCCTCTCACTCCCCCCATTTGAAGTGCTGGAAGGAGAATAAAATCAGCGTCTCTTACCTCATCATTTTGGGCGAGCAGTTGGGTGAGTTTCGCATCCCTCCGTTGCGCTGCTTTTTTTTGGGCGAGAGAGTTGACGGATGCTCGTCTTCGACTGCAAACACATGCACAGAGTGTCAGAATAGAGACAGAGTGTTGGGAAAGTGTGCTGGACCTGACATGAAAACAAAAAAAAAATAGCCAACAATAAATCAATCATTGCAAACCAAAAAAACCAAAAAACAACTGAACAGAAGTAAAAAGGAAAATTATTAATTCAGCGTCAAATTGAGAAAATATAGACGAAGCATTAGTAACGCACAATGGTAAATCTGAGAAAGGCAGGAGAAAAACCACGGAGAAAAAACAACTTTACGACCTGAAAATGTTACGGAAGGCTCACATCCCAAAACCCCCATATTTTGGCTCTCCTAAGGTGCACTTTTACAGGGCCTTCGGTAATACTCTACTGCGTCTGTTCAGTACACCCGCTAGAATGTGCAGATGGTTGGACCTCTAGCAGTCTGCATCAGAGTGACCATGCTTACCTACGCCATTAATTGCCATGTGATGGTACAGACTGTCATTGTCAGTGGGGCATGGGCAAAAGCAATGACAATGAGATAAATAAAGGTTATGGAGATGGATCTGGAGTGGGTAGTTTATTGATTTTTCTTTTAACAAAACCATCTGAACCCCACCCCATTATTCCACTTCTATCTAATGTTTCTCTTCTACAGGTCTACCTCCATGCCAAGACTCAAGACAAATCACTAAGGACAGGGCACGCTAACAGGGTATGAATTAGTGGACTATGAATAGCAGCTAATAAATACACATCATCCTCCAGTAGAAGAAGGTCAGGACTAGTCTTAAAAGTTCAACGAAAAACTTAATTATGTAAGATTTAATAGTCCATATTTGACGTTTTGGTGTTGAGCGTTTGCAGGACGCTGAGCCATAGCCACAGTGTTTTGTTTCAAGATTATTTTTGATCAGATTCAAGTTCAGCTTCCTGTCAACTTTGCTTTGCTGTGTTGAGAAACAGGGGAAAAAAACAGCCTATTTTTCAAACTTTGCTTGAGTCCCAGTCAGACAGAGAGGACGAGAAAGAGCAGCCAGATTGAGGCCAGGCCCAGTCGTCTGAAGATTTCAGGCAAGCTAACAGTAGTCTGATCTTCACTACTGTCTGTGAGTTTCAAGAGCTTTCAGACAGGCACCCAGATACTCTTATCCACTCTGCACTCTCCCAGCGCAAATGCCAAGTGCACCGTCACTTCAAACCTGTGTTAGTCCTTTGGTTAGAAATCAATAACACAGCATGATATTAGTGCAAATCAATGTGCACGCTGCAAGCCGTGACTATTCCAAGCATGTGGAAATTCATTATTGTCTGAGCACCCGTCCCTGGCTGTCACCTAATTCTGCTAATAAAAGATAAGAAATATGACTTTGCCTTCTAATAAAATGTCATTCTCTGACATTTCCTTTATGCAATTGGGCATTCGGAATAGCTAATATCACAAGCACTTTCCACTTTACAAATAATTCTCTCTCTAATGTACTTTGAAAATACCACATCAGAAAATATGCATTCCTCGCCATATTGTTCGACAGACTCCTCCTGGTTTAAACTTAATTTATTGACAGTAAAAGCATAGCACTTCTCGTTTGCACCCACAGCAATAAAATTAAATGCTTTCCAGCCACTGGGTAATAAAAGCTTTTACAGTAAATGATTAAAACTTTCTATTTCAGCTCAGTATCCTCAGAGCTCACAACTCCTGCAGCATTTCTGAAAATAAATAGTGACTCTTTAGTGTGTCAATTCTAAATTGACATGTTTGAGCACTCCTCAGTTTGGAAGTCACCCAGTAGCAGACAGTAGCAGCCACTGTACTAGCAGGCAAATCCGTGCAAAAGCAGCAGGAGCAACAACAGCAGCCGAGTGAACCATCATGCAGCAAACAAGACAAAATGAAGGGACGGGACAGGCGGGGTTACTGACTGATGCATCCCGCTAAGGGGGCAACCTACAGTGCCTACTGTGACTGAGCAGCATGGCATTACTGGGGTGGTAGCGGTATTTCACCGGCAGACTGCGGGCCCGGTTCAGCCGACTCTCAGCCAGGGATCTGGCCGCCACGTCTCCTGGACCTGAGATACTGAGGCGCAGTTTCGAGGGGTCGGCCCCAGGCCCCGGCCCCATGGGGAGCAGGCTTCCTTTACGGTTATTAACAAGGGGGATGTTGAGTTTGCCCGGGTTGAACAGGGGCTCCTGGTTGGGGTGCAAGTTGTTGGGGAGGAATGCATTTGTGGTGATGGAGGTGGAGTTGCAGCCGGTGGTTTTAACTGATCGGTTTTGAAAAGACGGTCTAACTTCATCCATTACTGTCAAACAATGGAGAATAAAACAGTGTGAGAAAGCCTGTATTAATGCTCAGGAATTAGTTGGTAATTAAACTATGTAGGTTAAATTGTGGAATTGCTATATTTGTTTTAAATTATAGAATTAATTTATCAGAGACTTCAGGAGAAATCTCCTAAAACAAATTTCAGAATTTTACTATAGGATGTAAAGAAGAAAGATATTCACTGACTTGAAATATATACGTGAGAATTAAAAGACTGGTAATTATTAAAATCATGTATATGGATCAAACACTTATGTTTTTCTCATTTCAATTTTGATTAAACCAAAATTCATGCCATAAAGCAGGGATCATTTATCATTTCATTTCTGTAAAACTGCTGTTCAAACTCTAACATCTCTTATCTGCTTGGCACACGCCCCGACTGAAACGTTCCCAGCGACATTTACTTTGCATCTGTGACAAACATGAATTAATAAGAAGTCTCTCCGTTTTATTTCCACAGTTGCGCTACACTTTCTGAGTAGAACAAAGCAAAGACACGGCTTGGCTAAAGCCAGTCAGATACAATCAGATATTGTGTCATTTCAAGCATAATGTGTAGCGCAGTACTTTGACTTCAACAAATATAAAAGTAGAACTAATAATTTATAATATTACTAATTCAAAAACTTTGTATCATTAAACATTAAAGGATTCATTCTGGATTATAGAAATGTGGTTTGATTCCAGGGTAAAAATGCAGTCATTCTCAAACATGCTGATTTTTACTGTAACTGTTTGTCCAACCTGCTGTGTCTGATATGAGAATAAATACACTGTGCATGTAGAAACTCACGTACACCTGATGTTCACTCAGCCGCCCCACCAAACGCACACACACAACCTGACTGAGGCTGCAGAGTCAACCCGTATGTTTGCATGTATTGAAGTGGTTGTAAAGTTGAATGGGAGAGGAGGAGCCCTGTTCCTCCCTTTGGTGGAAGGGTGGTTGGTCGGTTGTTTGGAGGAGAGCGCATGCTTGGGTGGCCCCGGGCGATAAACAGACGTTTATCCCAGCCGTCAGCTGCCTCCTTGATTTACGGGGCGCCACCGATAGCTCCTGGATTCATCTGGCCCTTGTCAAACACGTGCAGCGTTAGAGAGCGCTCACCCACCCTGGCAGGTCCACTGTGCATCCTGAACAACCCAGACGGCAACTGTCCCTTCCTGAAATGCTAATCACATGACGGTACTGTCCTGCATGCAAGCCTTATCAGATCGTCGTGACCCAATGTAAACTGGATGATGAGGCAGAGGAATAACAACTACAAATGTTTACTTTTGTATGTGAGCTAAGCTGGCTTTGCCTTTACAGTGTTTGCTGCATGAGCGAGCTTTGGTATTTATCTGCATTGCAACTGCATGAAAAAGCTTTTTATGCCATGCATTGTTGTTTTTAAAATATAAAACTAAAACTGATATTATGACAGCTGGTGGTTCCTTTTAGTTCTGCTAAGAGGCAGCCACTGTTTCAAAGAGGAAACAAAAAAAAATGTCTTCAATGTAAGAACAAATGCACTGAATAAATATAAACATATAAAACGTTAGAGGTGACAAATAGCATTGCAAAACTAAACGTATTCTTAACCAGTAGAGTAAAAAAGGAATTGCATTTAACAATTATTTAAGATTTACCTAAATTGCAATCAGCTTTGAATCGAACGCCAGCCTCTTTCTGACTCCCACTGTTCCCTGGTGTTGTAGCGCCATCTGCTGCTACATGCAGCACAATACAAAAAGAATATTTTATGGAACTACATGGTATTAGCAAACACAAAATAATTTATGTCCAGTTGCTATCAATACCAGGAACCCATTACTTTAAATTCCTGTTATCATATGTTGAAATGATTTCAGTTGACAAACATTGAATTTAACACTGGTTAAACTGTGACTTTGTCTCTGTATAAGACACAAGACAATATCAGTATATTCTTAAATTAAGGGAGAACAAAGCAAATACTAAAGCAAAGCATCAGTGCTAGTTATGTTACATGACATAGTGAGGGGTCTAGAGTCTAAACACAGAGCTGGAGCAGAATGGAGAAGGACAGAGAAACACACTTACGTGATCTGACATATCCATTATACTTATATTTGGCTGAGGAGAATGCAAAGACAAGTGGCAGGTCACACAAGGGGGAGAAAGGATGTAATGAAACAGGCACATTAGGAAATAGAGACATCAACATAAGAGCGGTGGATGGAAATTAAATCAAATGTAACTATGATGAAGTGCTACCAGTGAAAGGCACGAGGGCAACCAAAAAATTAAAGGTACAAATAATTAAAATGATGGACAAAACCTTAATGGTGATGATGGCACAAAATAGGCGGACAGGTGAATGGAAATGAACTATCCATTCTCAGAGTGAGCCATGCTTTTTAGGAAAGTGTCCTAAACCTGTAATGAGATGTAATGACAGACTAATGGCTGATTTCATAAAAACAGCTAAATTTGAGGTTACACAGTTTCAGTGGTAGATTCAACAATGTGATGCGTCTCATTTAAAAACTCATTAAATGCTTCGATGTTTTACATTTTTGACTTTAAAAGCGATGAACACTGTGAGGTCTGTAGATAGAACAAATAAAGCCACCATGGGGAACAAAGACAACTACATACATTGAGTGCATGTAGACGTCGGAAACACAGCAGACACTCGCTACTCAAAACAGCCGCGCTGACGGAGCACGAATGCAGAGAGACTTGATCTTTACATGCAGGCCACGTCTCTTGCACAAATGGAAATTTAAAAAAAAATAAAAAAATAAAGGAGTTTTGAAACATATGTTCAATGCTACACTTTTAAATCTCTTGGGTTGTTCTTTAAAATGAGTTGAACAAGGTCTCCACTTGTGCCAGAACTATTAATTATCCGGGAATTACCGTTTATGACCTTGACTGAGGAGGTACTGAAGATACTGATATAAGTACTGGTACAGTGGGCACTTGAACTGAGCTCTGAGCTGCTGACACTCTTTCCCAGAGTCTCTTCCAGCAGTAAAGGTCACAGTGAGGGCCCAGGGCTGGCCTATGACACAGATCCTCAAACAGGGACCCACAGTGGCCCTGGCATCTGTCTCTAGCAATCTGCCCGCACCGCAGAGGCGGCAGACTAACTGGCTAGCATCTGGGGCGTAGCGAGGCGGCATAGGACATAGGGTGGGGTGGGGAGGGGGGACCAAGCCTGCCTGGTGGACAGGAGCTGTCAGGGCAAGTTTGGTGACGGACCAGCAGGGCTGGGAAAATGAAAATGCAAACATAATTTCCGTGTCAGGATAGATAAGGTCCCCAGCAATGAGATGCAGATGCACACACATGCACAGACACAGAGATAGAAGTGCATGTTGTTACACACACGAGATGCGCACATGCACGCACGCACGCGCACACACACACACACACACACACATACACACACAAAAAACCCAGAAGGCCGCGGACAAGCCGAAAGCATCTCCCGAGCCCCGGGTCCCCAAACCTCGTCCGTAGCCCGGCTTTATAGAAGCTTCAACTTCTCCGTTACATAAAACCTGTCACGTCTCGAGCTTTTCTCACTGAAGGAAGCTGGCTTCCTGTGATGATGGTCAGGTCACAAAGAAAGACCATGTGTTGCTGATTTACAGACCAAAAATAAACGTCTGAGTCAGCGGAACTACTCCGAATAACTTCTGGTAATATTTTAAAACTTGAATCGTTGAAGAGAAGAATCAGTACAAACTACACGAGGAAGAACTGTGCTTTGTACCCTACTCTACCTACATATAATGTGGGCTTTGAACTATATATTTAACTATTCACAAGTTGCAGAAACTGCTTGCCTTTGCCCTCTTCTGTCCAATTTTTCCATATTTTTATCTGCAGAAGTTTCCGCCCCATGACTCATCTTAGTTTCACTGCAGAACTTGTATAAGAATGATGTCTGGTGGCAAAAGACTGCATTAAATTAGTGAGCTAATTTGTCCCGAGATGGCTCCACGTGCATGAGGAGTTTATCTATTTCACCAAACCTCACATTACTCACTAAACCCCTTGAATGAGTGCATATTAAAAACGGCTATTAATTCAATATTGTATCATTAAAGCCCATAAAGCAACACAGAGGTTTATGTTTACATCACCATTAATGAGGTGTCTGTGTTGCACCATCCGAATGTGACTCGCATCAGAACACATGAAAGAGCGCTATCCTAGAAATCAATTATCCGAGTACCCGGGCTAGAAAAATCTGGTTCAGATGTACAAGAGCATGAAGTCATCGCGGATAAAGACATCTTATCCTCTCAGTCTGGTGGAGGAAAGAAAAAAAAAGAGGGGAAATGGGGAGAGGAAATCCAACAATCCCTGACTGACAAAGCCCAATGCACTCCTTTACTAAACTCACTTTGTTCAGACAAAGTCAGAGTTGAAAAGGGAAAGAAATCCAAGACAGAGGAGGCTTTCCTGAAATCCTACAGGGGGTTGAGGGAGAAGTGAGATCAGTAACCATGTAATGGCCAGTAATTGGTACCGAGGGATATCAGCGCAGGCCGAACTACAAGAGGCCAAGCCAAACCCATCATGGCATGTTTGACACTAATCTAGGCTGAGTCGGCAGACGGTGGGAGAATGTTGAGAAGGAAATCAGATCTGTATGTCTGAACCCAAGGCTTTGATAGCCAGGCCTACTGCTGCCATGTGTAATTGACAGACAATTTAGTATTTCCCATCCACTCAAAGGGAAATCGAAAGAAGGGGGATCTTCCAGGAGCTTTCGTCTCCCTACCTGTTCATTATCAAGCCAACTATCACTGTTTTGAGCTCTCATTTTGTGTCTCCTTTTAGCTTATCTGTTTTCTTGCACTCTTTTCCACCATACCAAACCTCTTTCTCCCCCTATTGTATTTTTCTTCTCCCTCCTCCCAGTGTATGTGAATGAATGCTAAAGACTGCAGGAGAGATACACTACTTACGACTATTTCAAATATATTATAATGTAAAATGTACAATCTTTCTTTCAAAAAAAAAAAAAAAGCCCAAAAAACAGTGTTAATTGTGGGCAAAACTATCTGTTTTCTTCTTGCTCTTGTTCTTCTCTAATTGCCGAAAAGAGTAAAAGGGCATTTCATTTGCTTGAGATATTATTAGTTACTTCCTGAACCGGTGTCACCGATAAAAATGTGTTTTAATATCTGGGCACTGCTCCTCATTTATAAGGCTCGACAAGCCTCTTAGAAATTTTCAAAACACAGTTACAGATGTGATTTTTCTCTTATCTTCCAGCATTAAAGTGAAAAACTCTGCACAGTCGCTCGGTGAGGTCGAGTCAAAGGTAAAAGGAAAAAAAGTGAAACAGAGGCAAAGCTGCTTTAACTGAAAAGCGTACAAACTAAAAAACAGTGTTAACTCAGAGGTTTGTAAGATATAAGACAGTAACTTAACAGACATTATCATTAAATTGCAGGATAAAACCTTGAATAAAATAATATACTTTCCATTTTTGTGTACATAACAGACATCTTACCTTAAAACAGTTCAAAACACATTAAAATCCAATAGTGATATTATCACACAACTGCATGACTGATGCAGCATGCGGTAGCCACATGTCTAACACCTACAGTACTGTACAGTACAGCAGCACCACAGAGCCACACCACCACTTACCCACCACACATAATACACTCATGACACAAAACGAATAGTGTCACATGAAAATGATGAACAACTGAAAAAACACTGATGAATTTCAACTATAAATAAGAGAAAATGAAAAGATTCAGAGTTAAACTTTAAAAGATATTCATAAACAAAATGAGTAAATAAATTCAAGTACGCCACAGCTACACAAACTATGGTTAACTGATCACACCACGTAGACGACATCACAGACACACACGTACGGTACCTCTGCATGGTACAATACACACGGAGCACACACCACAGACATGTAACAGCATGTGTTGGGCGGTGTAACTTACAGGCACGTAAAGTGGTTGCGCAATCATGAACAGAGACAGAGGAAAGTGGGTAGGCCCTCTGAAGGGTGTCCATGTTACTATGTACACTGCCTGACATGCAAGAGCAGTCTTGCTCTGAACGGCCGCAATCAAAACAACATGCCAGTTTCATTCGTTTGTAGACGGACATCTTGGCTACAGTCATGTTTTGGGATGAGAGGAGAGGAAAAGCAGCAGGTTAATGGCAAAAGGAGAAATTTTCATCCAGGGGAAGTCGGAAGGTAACTTCATCAGAAAGTGCAAGCCTTAGCCACCTGCTCCCACAGACTTGAGCCCCAAATTCAATTAGCAAACTCGAAGCAGCGAGATTTATTCAAAAATCCAATTACTTTACCTCAACAAGTTGCCCAATTCATTCATTCATTTTTTTTTATTTCTTGCCTTAGAGAGTAAAATTTGGAAACCTTACAACATAATAACAGAATAATAATCTGCCGGCGCATTATTTTCTCGTTCATTTTGACAAAGTCTGGAGAGGTCAAGCTGCGTGCTAAGGCTGTAACAAGTCAAAAGGCAAAACTATAACAGTGGGAAAGAGGGGTGAGGAGAAAGGAGAGAGGAAGGGAGGCATTCGGGGAAGAGAGGCATGAGCAATGTCTTCAGCAGCAAACCTCATACAATGTTTCATACATTTGTACATCCTCTATCCATTTGGCTAAAGGAGTGGATCACGTACCTGTATCCCATCATGCAGCTGTAGCGGCTCTGTCCAAGGCATCACACTATTCTACTGGCTAGACGGGCCAAGTCATGCTAATGTATATTTGAATCTGTAGTTTCACTGCTCCACTCCCCAAGGGAAGCTTCACGCTAATGTGAATGTGTGCTTAAATAGTGGGTCTCAAAGAAGGATGTGCATGTTCGTTATTTTTGTGAGTCTTTGTCAATTTGTATATGTTGTCTGTGTATCTTTTTAAGGAAAAAACAACATTATTCCTCTTACAGATGGAAGTAGCTGTCTGTTAGTCACTCACTCTACAGCAAGACACTGCACTTCAAAATAAAAGCTCTGTGCCAGAAAATTGCTGAGCTTAAAAATAACATGTTTTTTTTTTTTTTTTTTACAAACTTTACATGCTTGCAAATCACTTGCGGTCCATTCAAAATGGACCTAAGACCAACTTTTGGACTGCCACCCACCAGTTGGGAGCCACTGGAGCAGACAATATTCTACTCGACTATTCTTTTCTCTACTTATGCTACTGTTACCATTATCCTGATGTTGTCAGTTGTTCAATACATCTAAATGTAATGTTAATGCACTCTTTGTATCTGGGACAGTTTTAATTTTAATTGGTTAAGAGGAGAAAACTATTACTGTCAGATTTTGAATCTTTATCTCAAGCTGTATTCCCTCAAAATTTATAAGGTAAAAATACTGATTGGACCACTATGCATAGAGTTGTTCACATACAGATAGATTGGTGAGCATGCAAGTCTATACACCAATCCCATACCATGTAATTTATTAATGAACTTTAAAGTTTCACACCTGGATAAAATGGAGCTAGAGTCTCCTTTGCCAAAACTGTGGTCTACACAGCAAACTCTGCTGTGCAACCACTGACAGCTACTGTTTTAGAGCAGCAAGAACAATTGATTTCCTGAAAGTTAAGTTGCTGTTGCACTGCTGCTTCATACTGTTACTGTGCTATTAAAACTTTTAAATTCTTTCATTCTGCTACAAGAAAGTTCTATGAAATTCACTGTATGAATTTACTCATGCTTTACAAAGATTTAACCTGAGCAATGCCATACAACAATAGCAATTATATTGCATCCATACAGGGGTAGAAGTATGGATTTTAGGCAATGGTATCAGATCGGATCAGTATTGGGAAAGAAATCAGGTATCAGAGCTTCTCTATTACGTATGATTTAATATCTTTTAAATGACCTCCACTCAATAAAGTCAGGGAGTAGAACTCGCAAATAACTCTTATCGGATAAAGTTAAGAGGAAAATGTATTTCACCATTATATTTCACCATTTGCTTTACACTAAGGAAGTGCTATCTTTTTACAGGTCACACTGATCTTTGTTACTAATTATTAAATTATAATTTATCGTGCAACATCTATTGCATGTCTGTCCATCCTGGAAAAGGGATCCCTCCTCAGTTTTCTGAAGTTTCTACTATTGTTTTCTACCCGTTAAAGGTATTTTGGGGAGTTGTTCCTTATCTGCTGCGAGGGTCTTAAGGACAGAGGGATGACGTATGCTGAAAAGCCCTCTGACGCAAATTGTGATTTGTGATATTGGGCTTTATAAATGAAATTGAATTGAACTAAATTATAAGTGGGCCTGTATTAGGATCAACACCAGTGCCTTAATGACTGTATTAAAGTATCTGATTGAGGATTGTTTTTAATTGTCGTCCTAAAAAAACTGGAATTTTGGTGCCGAGCTGCTCTCGTTCAGGTAAGCCTGGATCTGAGTGTGCTGTTACACAACAATAAACTCCTTAACTACGAGTCAGCCTGCAGCCAAAAACTGTGAGCAGCCAATTTCTGTCTTTGTGTTGTGTGTGTGCTGCTGTGTGTGTGTGTGTGTGTGTGAAGCTTTGAACCCCGGGGGAAGCGGGAGTGAAAGTCCCCAGAGTAGCACATCTAGATTGCTGTGACTCTGGGCAGAAACAGTCCCTGGTCCCCATTCTCTCATTACCAAGGTGCAAACAGACAGCAGACTAATGCCGTCTGGCACCTTTACAGAGACACCTTCAGCATCTTTGACTCTGAGTCACATCAGAAAAAAAATAAGAGCTTGAATGAAGTAATATTTTTCAGCTTCTGGCCAAGGAAAGAATGGGAAACGCAGATCATAACCCATGGGATGAAGGCATCAGGGACTGTTGTATCCTTTGGCATGCACATGTGCCTTATGAGCATGTAATAAGCATGCAGAGACTGTCGTTTTGGTCTTAGCAACAGAGATAACTGTTCACAGTGTTGAAACAGTTTGGGAGTATGGCAGACAAGGTACAGCGAGGCTATCACTTCATGCTGAAACTTCTTAACTTCAGAGTTTTTGCGTAGGCACTCGGACCACAGAATATGTTTACAACGTGGATTATTGACATATGGAAGGGGAGTAATGGAAAACACAAGACACACACGCGCACACACCGACAATGTCTTTGACTTCTGACTTCACAAATACCCAGATTCTGGCCTAGAGTTAAAAGGTGTCCGTTTCAGGACATTGAAGATTCAACATGACGGCTGCCCTGATAAACTGTCTGCATGGGTTTGATCAGTCACCATCTCCTCTAATCCACCAAGGCACAGTATACTCAAACAGAAGCTATCAGGGCGCTATGTTGAATGCGAAGGATGTCCCAAAGAAAGCACCATTCTCATATGTCCCCCTAAAGCTTCCTTATTCAGCAAGAGTGCAAGGAAAAATGATACTGTTACGGCAAGAGATGAACTCTTGAGCAATAACAAACACAGTACTGCAGCGGAGGCAAAAAAGAGTGCAGAAGACAAATGCTCTTTTTCCTTGGAAAGGCAGCCTTTTCTGCACAAACACACCCCGACCACACCATATCATATAAACAAAACACTAAGTGATGAAACAAACTCAGGATGATGAATTTGTCAAACTCAGGATTCGGTTTTGGATTGAATTTATTATCCTAAACGCACAGAAACACTCAGATTTGATCCTTGCATTTTTGCTGAACAGGTTTCTGGGGATTTAAGTTTCCTCTACAGACATCACCATTTAGATATTGTATCATTGGACATGACTCTGGCACGGCACCGCCATCTAGTGGCGATCTAAAGCTATGACAATTAATACTGTATTGCTAGTGGACTTCATCCAGTGCAGCGAGTTAAAACAAAAAAAGGGCCCAACAACTGTCCAGATTTGAAATGCACAAGACTGGTGCGGTGACATTTCAATTCTGAGAGGAACTGATGATCTCTGAAACCTCAGCCGGAGCAGGGCGAGGACCCAGAGCTTAGAAAAAAGGGCTGAGATCACAGAGAAGGAGGGCAAAGGGGAGACCAGATTGTTTTGATTGTGTTTTGGCAACCTAGTTTGATTTGCAGAACTTCCCACAAGGACGTTTTCTGCTCTCTGAAAGTACAGCCACACACAAAACTTCCTTTGACAGAAAGCAGATCAATTTAAAACTCAGCAGTTCTCGTTAATTCTCTTCCCCCTTGTGTTAGCTCCTCTAAATCCATGATTACCGCATGACATCTCAGATTTTTTATTACGCTCCTTCTGTACTTCCTTAGAGCATGACACTGTAAGGAGGTTAATCACGGGTAATGACATAAGACTTGCAGCAGATTGGCTTCCAAATGCCAAATATGAGTTTGGTTTGATGATCAAATGGTGAGGGAAAAACTGCAGAGCTCACCGGCCACATCCGATTAAGTCACACTCTATTTAATTGTCATTTCCAACTAGTGAGAGCATCAGCTGACTGGGCCTATGATGAGGAGGCCTGATGCTGGTGTGAGTTTGATTTCAGCTGTTTTGGTTTTGGTCTGGTCTGAGCACAGTGTAGAAATGAGAGGCGAGGAGAGGGATGCAGAAGCTACACTGGTACATGCAACATAGATACAGTATACTATTTGCTGAAGAGGAAAAAAAAACACTGCACTCTGGGTAATAGTACACCCATTTTCATTTTACTCACAATAAATCACTACCAGTGAGTAGTTAAAATAAAGTGGTGTTTTCCAATGGCAGCAGGGAAGGAAATACATCAAAAGTGTGTCACTGGTCATAAAGAAACATGGGAAAAACAACAGAAGAGAACAAAACATGATAGAACAGAACATACTGTAAGACAGACTCCCATTGCAGTAATGGAGCTGTCGTCTTTCTAAATGCATCTCTCTTGGGCTAACTAATAAGATAAAACACAAAGGCATGTCCATCACCTGCGTCTGAGACACGGCGATATTAAGAAAGCAAACAAACGTAAACAGTTTATCTGAATGAGACTAAAGTGTGAAAGGCCTGTTGATCCTATTGAGCCAGGAACGCAAGAAATTGTCTGAATAATTGAGGTGACACAGACAAAAGAAAGAAACGGTGGGTATCCATTTTAAAAGCAGGCTTTGTCTGTATCAGGCTGCTTACTGTAATTGACTGTGACCTTTTAGAGGAAATACGGGAGATTCACCTGAATTATTTATCCAGTGGCTAACATGTCCTGACAAGTGACTACTGCACATAGGTCAGGTTATATTCATGTGCTGTTCCTGCTGTAATGCTAATGTTACGTCCGCATAAATAAAGGCGGAGGACTATCAGTTTGACGGGGCATTTGTGTATGGTGAAAAGTCTTAAATTTAATAATTAAGAGCACAGAGACTGAGCTCAGTACTCTCAAATACTCTCATCAAGAGCATTTACATGTAAAAGAATATAATACAGGGTCATATCCACTGATATTTTAAATGTTAGAGAGAAAAGCTCATTGTCTCATGCAAATAAAAAAAAGCTGGCTTATTCTGCCTTTATAATTGTAGTTTCTCATCTGAGAGTTGGAAAAGGAGTTATTGTATATGCATTATTGTGAATAATAATTCAATAATGTTAAGTGCTTTTTATCTACTGAACATAGGGTTGCAGCGGTGTACCAGTTTAACATTCACACCATGTTAAACTTTTCAGACGGGGGTGCCATCTTGTGAGGTACGCACTCTGTTACCTGCACCTGCTGTGGTGGTCACCAACAGTATTTGGACTGATCATAATAAACACCATAGATCTATATGACTTGATACCCTGAGGCTGACCCTAATGCATTACTTCCCCTCACATACCTGACTACTGAAAAAACATAAATGGCAGTCTTACATTTCCTTTCCTCCTCAACTGTATGTCAAACTAGCGCCAGACATGCAGTGGCAAAGGAAGTATAGATTAAAGTATGTGTCCCGTTCACAAATCAAATTCCTACCAAACAATAACAGTGCACTAACTGCACTAAATCAATGCGCTAAAGCTTGACTGTGGAAATATGCTTGAGTGCAGTACAAGGGATCTGTGCAATAGGCTGAATGCCCTGTGTGTGTGTGTTTTGCAATGTTTTTTTAAGTGTAATATTCATTACTGTTTACTTTTACTTTTTACTATAAAGTTTATTATTGTTTTCGTAAGCTCTTTTTTACTTATATTTGCACTGAGGAGGTTGCATTCAAATTCAATGTAGATGTGCAATGACATTGTTGGCCTAACAAATACACACACTGACCCCCATTTGACCCCATAATTAAACACACACAAACTTCTCACAGCTAGTGTTATTTTTCATTTAGTTGTCGATTTAACAGGCTATAGTGCAGCTAATTGTACCTTGAAAATCTCACACCACTACAACCCAAGTTCAAAAACATGCCATAAGACTGTGTATTGCCTTGCCTATGTGTATGTCCTCCCAAAATTGGTTCACTTTTAAAAGGTACCGTTTTTAGATTGAAATTGTGCAAAATCCCCAAATTCCAAGGCTGAACTTCATTTGAATATTTTCTGTAAATTTTTTACTGAAAATTTTCCTGGATATTTATTAAAAGTTTTTTAATGATAAATTGTAAACAAGTCATGGATTTGAATATGTCAGCAGTAGGGTCTTATGACTGGTTTGCTCACTCCACCAGAAAGTATCTTTCGTCGTACAGAAGCAGCTCTTTATGTGTTGGTTTGTGCTGTTTTCTTTTGTCTTTCTTTCTCTTCTAATTTCTTTTGTTCACACTGGAAATGTACAATGTTACCTACAATCAATCTTATTTATGTTGTTTATTTTCAGATAGGAGACTTTTTACACATACGTCCATAAAAAAAAGGTTTTAAGTCTCAATTTTATTTATTTTTTTAAAAATGAAGGGTCACTGTAACTGATAATAATATTATTAATAATAACAATAATAATAATAATTATAATAATTTCTGAGCTGGTTATCGTACCGTGAAAGTTTCGTGCCGTTGCAACCCTATTCTTCACTGCTTTTTACTCCTGTAAATCTCATTCACTATGATACATTTTCTGTGTAGATAAAGTTGTGATTCAAACCAAAAAGAAAACACACTCAAAGAGAACTGCATTTCAACTGGAAATAAACCAAATCAGATATTGACTGATGACCATACCATAATGGATGTTATGGAGGCTCAAATGGGACCCATAATAAACACTTTCCTAAGGGTATAATGATGTGACAACATATATTACCTTTAAAAACACAGTACCACGGTACAGGAGAACAATGACACAATGAGAGGTATCATATTAGTGTACAGACTTGTAAAGGCTTAAGTATAATGAGACAGACAGACCCACAGGTAGGATTTGGAGTGAGAGGAAGGGAAGGAGGGGGGTGGATGGGGCAAAATAAAGGCCCGGCTACTCACGTCGTTTGCAGCCACACTTCTTGATCCGCTTAGGGTCTGTGATGTCATCATGACAAGCTTTGCAGTAGAAAAATGCTCTAAAGGTGGCACAGTAAGAAATGTTCAGGACTTCGATTAATCAAACCGTTTTACATAATGAGCGATCAGGTGTTCATCAGGGTTACCTCTTTACTTCTTTGGCGTCACTGGCGATAAAGAACCCCAGTGTTCCCTCCTGCATCTTGACATGGTTGCCCGGGTTGATGAGGATGCTGGGTAATCACAGAAATAGACACACCATGCTCATTAACGTCTGGACGACACTCAGCTCATGCACACAACATGCTAATCAAGAGGAATGGTACACAGACTTGCTGAAGCCGTTAGTCGGACCTGCACTGGACTGCTGCATTATTCTCAGCTGGTTTGTGTCCTACGTGTCGTCACAAACACACCTGCTCGTCTGATTTTGGGCGATTTGCTGATGTGATACTCACACGGATGGACACAATGTACAACAGTATGATCGCACATTGAATTTTAATTCTTTTCTTTACAGGATGGTGTTGGGTTGCCCTGAGGTGTGGAGGGAAGGACAGAGAGATACGAGTAAAGGGACAAGGGCAGAAAGAATTAAAATTATGGCTATGGAGTGGTTTTAGTGTCAAATACATCTAGTCGAAACAAATGTTATGATGGCCACTGAGACACGGCTGCAGTACGGAAAATGTACAGCAAGTGTTGTTATCTCGGTTAGTAACTGACAGTGGGATGCAAGGGAATGAACAGCTCTTTTTCTGTCGATACTACTCTACTCAGTGACTCTGCTACAGCCTATAGGATCGCTCTAGGAGATGTAAAATTGGTGGAGTAAAGTTCAAAGGTGGATGAACTCCCATTAAAACCAGTAGTGACTCTGCTCCGCTGAATTACAGTGTGGAAATAATTAGAATGCATGTCCAGCAAGGTCAATATTGACTTAAAATTTTATATTATATTCATTATATTTATATCTAAAGACACAGCGGTAATAAAAATGTATTACGGCATGCTGAACAACAGCTGCACTAACAGTAAATATTATGGGATGTGTTAGTTAAAGCATTTTTATTATGCGTGGGACTCCGTTTAATACCCTAAAGCACTTTAAGCGACTGGCTGTATCATTCCCCATTAATTAGACTGAGACAAAGAGTAGACGCCACACACACATACTGTACGCTCACACACACACACACACACACACGCACGCACACACACACACCCTGGTCATTAATGGTTACCTGTGGGCAACAGTCATCAATGATGTGAGTGTGAACTAAGAAATCAAAACACCGAACCCACAAACCTTTAAGGGTCACACTCCTTTAAATAAGACGAGCCCAGATGAAAGGTGATTGATTTTTCTTTTTTCTTTTTTTTCTTTTTCGTTGACTCCATTTTATGTATTTATGAATACATAAAAAAAAAGTCAGTGTTTCTTACCGACTTGATTCAAATTTTTGTATTTTAAATAACTATTTTGTGCCATTTAAGTGACACATTTTTGAAAAAGTGTGTTATCTGTGCAGACTCAAAACATCTGTCTCACTACATCTTTCCTCTGGGCTCTGGAAAAAAGGCTACACTGGAGAAAATAAACAAAAATATTAAGGGAGCAATTGAATCCATACACATATCAGGCTGTGATCAAATTGCACCAGTCATGCAAATCAGATTTTTTCCTTCCACATTTTTCTTTTCAATAAGTAAAATAGCATCAAACATTCACTCAGATTGAATGGCCCCCAGAGAAGTAAACAGGCATTACGCCCTGGCATGCTCTTTAGTGAAAATAAATGAAAGAAAACATTTCATATCAAGACAGTTCCACAAACATTGCTGCCCAAATCTGAGATTTCACAGGAGTGTCTATCCGAGACATTTTTCTTAGGGTCAGGTGCAAACTGGTGAATAGAAGCTTAAAAAGCGTCAAAACCTCATATTGTGAGCAACAAGGCAAGCATCAAACACCTCATGTGATAGTGTCATACGGGAGCATGCAGTTACCATACAGCATGAAGAGGACAAGAACCAAGACAGAAAGGCATAGCCACTGCAGTACAGGTATAAGGACAGGTACGTAGATGCAGACGGTTGCAGTAACTTCTGTGCAGTTGGATTGTTTCCCAAACACCAAACTGACAGGAAGTGACCTCACTTAAGAACATCTACTCGAGAGACGCACGAGCATGACTGTACGTGGTGGCTGAGACGCACAAAAATGCACATTCACACACAAACTCTCCCCCTCGAGGTAAATCACACATAAACCAGACGTACAGACATGCACAGATGGATATACATTTAGCACTGAGAACATGAGAGGGTGATGGGATGCAAAAGTGAAATGTGGGGCACTCGTGAACATTGTAACCTATGATTATTAGAATTTCAGTTTGGATAAACTTAATGCTATCCAAATCCAACAGCTCCATGCCTGTCCTAGTGTGTTAAATGATAGTAAAAGGAAAACAAAGATCGGTGAGGTGCTGCTGGTGTAGTAAAACCATGAAGAAAAAAGACATGCTGTTATATCAGCCACTGCCTACAGCACTGACGGATAATCAGTAAATTTAAATCAAGATTAAATCCAAAATGTAAAACAACAGATTATCAGTGCTTATCAACACCACATCTGAGGTCTATGTGTGTACAAACTCCTCGCTGATTCAAAGAACCATGAAGTACTTATTTTAAAAACACCATGAGTGGATTAATTGGCTTGGCAAAGCTAACATACAGAAGGGTAACAACTGAGCAACACTGAAAAAGAACTGAAAGTGAGAGAAACAAACTAAGCAAAGGACTGGTAAAGGACACAACGGAAAAAGATCAAATAAGAGGTAGATATGGAGAGGGTGAGTGTTTGGCCTTGGTACACCGACAACAGCAAAGACAAAGAAACAGCACTTCTACAAACATATCCAATTTATCTATCCTCTCTCTGCCTGCAAAGAAGTTAGTGCATTAAGCACAAGGGACACCATAAAAAAAGAGTTAGAAAAAGAAGCCTGTGAGATAGTGTTTGGAAAAATATCCTTGGGGGAAACTCCCAAAGTCAGAAGCTTTAAAGTGGTGGAGATTGGGTGGAACTTTGGAAGTAAGATAAGGTAGAGGGCATACCGCTTTCGGCTTCTGCAAACAACAAGAAAAAATCTCAAATCAAACAGTTATCATGAACATAAAAGAAGAGGAGAATATTTCTAATGTTTCTCTGCCTGTTTAGTAGGCACGCCTTATGTGGCAGCACGTGGCGCAAATCTGCACAGACACACAGTTATTTCATGCTTGTCCGATGGTGAGGTCCTTGCACCTAAAAAATGTTTACTAAAAAAATTCTGTTTGATCTTTTATACAAGGGTGAGATTAAAACAAATGGCACTGAAATCTGTGATAGTACATCTTCTAGAAAAGAGCTGTAGATATAAGGGAAATGATGCCTCTGTGTGGCATCATCGAAATCATTACAAAAAAATGTTTACCATGTCAGAATTATTAAAGTTTTAGCTTGTAATGTCAACATGACCATCGTCTGCCATGCACATACACGTAAACATCTGACACAGGTGAATGAGGAAAGGTGGGTGGGATTTGGCAATTGAGACTACTGAGAAATAGTACTTCATGTTGTTATGGGTGATAACACTGACACTGATGTAGTTAGTGGTTATCGTACAGACTGAACAGGGACACAAGAGAATCAAGTTAAGGAAACACATGACATGAAGTTTGAATGTGGAGCAAATTAGTAATCTAGGTGTGAAAGTATCTCTGAGTTGACAGCACAACTATGACTGAAAAATCTAATGTCTTTCCAGTGCAGTTAACACATTTTTTTTTAATAACAGATTTTTTTACATTTGTTCCTGCATATCTGCAATGTTTGGTAAAAGTATTAGAATTGTGGCTGTGTAGTTACCTGACATACAGTCAGTATGATCAGTCCTGTTTATTTGTTTGCCAAATAGCAGGGTATTCCAAAAGTTCTTAGGAACGTTAGGCTATTCAGGCAAGAAAGAAGTGATAAGTTTTTGGTGCAGATCCATTTTTTTTTTTGCCAAGTTTCTTAAAGGAGCAGTGTGTAGGCTTTAGTGCCATCTAGTGGTGAGGACAGCACATTGCAACCAGCTGAAACTTCTACAAAGAAGAACTCTTGGTTAGGATTCCTTCAGTGCTAATTGTTCAGGAGGTTTTTACTGGGAGCCAAATTATCTGCAGAGGTCTCAGATCACATAATTAAAGGTTCATTCTCACTGCTGCGATGCGGAAATGCGGGATGGATTTGCGGAATATTCGCGCAGAGCTTTTCCGCGTTTAAACCATACACACAGGCGCGGTACGGACGCGGTGCAGAATTTCGCGTTGTTGTGTTCCAATTCCGCACAGTGTGAACGGGTGTGGGTGAACATGGACGAGAGTAGCAGCAGCAGCAGCAGCAGCAGCAGCAGCAGCGAGCTAGCAAGCTAATGTTTAACAAGCGTCAACATCAACTTTCTTTAGCACTTACCACTCTCACTGCAGCCACCAAGCTGGACAATGGACTGCCAGACGTTGTCCTTTAATTCATTGTTCATTAGATCATCCCGTCTTTTATCAAAAAGGACGGGGTGCTGTGAAACGAGGTTTATCAACCTTTCTCCCATACTGTCCTGCCTGACTGGATTTTGGACTCTCCCGGGTCTGTGCGACGTGACTATAAACAAACAATTTCATTGGCCCAGCTGTGTAGTTCCACCATAGACTGCATAAAATAATGGACGTAGTGAGTTCCACCGGCAAATTCCGCGGGGGTCAAAGTCTGGGTGGAAACTTTTTTCACCGCACAAAAGTTCCGCCCCGGTGTGCAAACTTCCATAAGAACCCATGAAATCAGCTTTTATATTTTTCCGCGAGAATAATCTGCGCTGACTGGCAATAACTCTGAATAAAGCAGTTTCACGTTACAAAACAGTGTTTCTTCGATGCTTTTCAGCTCATCGCAGACAGGCAGCTAGCTCAATGTAAACACGCGGCAGCTACGCTCAAACACCAGAACAACACCGTTGCAGCGCACACGGGTTCCTGAGCGCCTATTTTTCAGGGTGCTACGTCTGCACACTGAAAAAAACAGAGTTAAACTTTAGGAATACAGCAGCGTGCACATGTCATGTGACAAGGAACAACCAATCACAGGTGGCAAATATCTTTCCCTTCTTCCATAAATATCAGTCTGAGGTAAATATGACGAAGTTGATCATTTTAGTGCAGGGCTGCCAGAGCTTTACATCTGTCCCATGGACAATATTTTTGGCCTAATACACACTTACCAAATAAGGCTTGGAAGACGATCAGCTCTGCACTCAGAATGACCTGCCAAGGGACTACAGACGCGAATAAGCTTGAAGCTATAATCTGGTACAGTGCATCAAAGGGTGACATTTATGTTTGAGCTGTACACTGTGCCTTTTAAATAAAATAAAAATGAAATTTCTGGTAAGTAGGCTATGATACGGTGCTGGCTATGGTCTCTTAACAACCTCAGACGCAACCTGCCTCTGTGCCCTTGAAAGTTGGCACAGAGTAGGCACAACAGTAGCATCCAGCGCCCGACCTTGTGTTTTCCAGGCGGTTAAAGACAGCGTGTGTACAGCTCCTAGTTGTAATTTAAAACCCAGACGTTCAGGAGTTTTACCAGGAGACTAATTACCCACAGAGGTCTCTTTCTTTCTAAAACAAATGGACACAGTGATTTATGCCAGTAAAAATGTTGAATAAAGCAGTTTTACATTTAAAAAAAATGTGTTTTTACAATGCTGTTTGGCTCGTCACGGAGGTGCTGCTAACTACAGTGGCCGACGCAAAATGCAAAACATGAAAGGCCCATTTAGAGCAACTGTTGTCTTGTCTGTTCTGGGTTACTATAGAAACATGGCATTGCAACATGGTGATCCTACACACTGAACCTTTAAGATGGCAAGATAGGATATTTTTACTTTAATTACAAGTTTTGGGACACTAAAATGAGAAACTGAAATTCAAGATGACTGTGCAGCCTTGGCAGAGGTGTGTGCTTTCTGAGTGCTTTCTAATTGTGTTACTGTGCGTACAGATGCTCCATTTGGCATCGCTCTAATGTCATGCACCAACTTAATGTCATCAAATGTAATATAAATATCATCTGTTTTTAAAGCTGCAAGAAAGGATTTAGGGAAAAATATAAGATATTTTATTAGAGGATCCTCTTGAAGCGAGTCACACAGTAGTTCACTTTTTAACACAGTTGCTCCTGATGTAAGTGGAAAAAAGATGCAATAAACAAACCTGCTCTCTCTCTGCTCAGACTTGTATTCGATGGCAATGAGCAACAGCTTCAGCTTCACGTAACACAGCCTGCAAAACATGTGCACTCATTAGAGGACAGCAGTGTATAAGCAAATGACTGATGTGTTCAAACAGCTTTGAAATTCACATCTCATCTTTCTTACTTCACTTCAGAATTGTTATCTATACCTACCACTGACAGTGGGCTTGCTGAGTGAGGAGAGAGTGATACTTACTCGCAGACAGTGGGGAAGGAGAGGCCGACAAAGGCACTGGACAAATACTCTGTGTACATCTCATTAGCCACCCCTTCTAGGTAATACTTCTGCCATGTGTCCTCCTCAATCTGACAAAAAACAAGCACGGAAATGTCACATGTGAGGATAAAAAAAGGAAGAGAAAAAAAAGCAATACTGTTTTTCTTCCAATAGCGGCCCAATGTGGTCTGCAGATGTTCCGCCGCACAACATCAGCCTGGTCATTATAAGCTGATCCATCATCTTTATGACAAGAGAACAGTTCTTTGATAGAGACAAGCACCTCTTCAATTCTGAGCCACAGAAACACTGAACAGATTCCATATGAAATGTCACAGTAAAATATGATGTGCCAGGACGACTGAAAACACTCTAATGGAAGTCTTTCTCTGGACTAAGATGTCAGAATTTTCCGGGGAATGTACTGTGCTTGATAGATTTAGTCCATCTGTCAGCGGAGAACCTACTGTATCCACTTATAGTGACCTCACCTCCAATCCCTGAATAAATCATCTAGTTTACAAAAAAAAACCCCGCAATGTGAGAATGCGTTCATCCATATTACTTCAGTCAGAAGGTTCAGAGGGAGTGACTGAGACGAGGCAAGTTAATCTTGTCCTCTGTGTTACCTCAATGAAGGACCTCATAGAGAAGAGGTTGGCTAGCATGGTGGACAGGCCCTGGGCCAGACAGCTCTGGGCAATGAAGCCTGCCTTCAGCTCCGCCAGGCAGATAGCATCGTCACCCTCCTTCCAGTTCCAGCTTGGAATGTTCAGCAGATGGGCCTTCGGCACAAGACAGACAGAGGAGGTCACAAGACACGGAAAACTTAGCAAACGATTCGTATTTCTTAGAGAAATACTTTGACATTTGGGGAAATATGCTCATACGCTTTCTGGCAGAAAGTTAGTGTTAGCTGAGGAGCTCACTACCACTCTCCTGTGTGGATAGTAAATATAGATCTACAGCCAGCAGCCGGTTAGCTTAGGTTAGCTTAGCTTAGCACAATAATCTATAACACAAGATACCCCACTACAAGCTGCGCCAAGGGAACAAAATGGTATACAATTCCTGTCTCCTTAGTGGGCAGGGTCATCTCTTTGCCGCATCATCGTTTGGAAGTATAGTAAACATTGTGTGTATGGATGAAATCAGATTCAAAACAATACAAAACAGAAATTTAACATTTGTTCCTAATTTTGCTGCTTGTTTTTATCTGCTAGCTTATTGTCTGATATCAACAGAGTCTAAGGTCACGACAGTTGTCGCCAGATCTCAAGTTTGTTTCTAAAACAGAGACATGTCTCAAACAAAGTTAATTTTCTTCCGATATGTCTGTCTGAAAAAATGTCATTTTGCTGTCAGAATGTCTAGAAGGGTTGGGGCTTATGAAAAATGTGTCCAATATTTACTTCAGTGACTACGGGGCGAAGGGAATGGTCATAATCTGTAGTCACGTTCACTTCTCCCATTGGAATGAATAGACTTGGGGCCGCTGCTCGTCTCCTAAAGGGGGGTGGCAGTGGTGAAGCCATGTGACAAAGATACAGGAATCTAAAGTGGGCTTGGTTTATCAACAGTCTCCGGTAACAGCTAGCTTGGCTCTGTGGCAGTTGCCTGGCAATGAGCAGATACTTCAGGAAGTTATTTGTCCAAGAGAAGAAATAGACCAGGGCATAAGCACTCGTATAATGGCAAATGGTTGTTTTTAGAAATTTCCCCAAAAAGTTTTTTTTTCTTTCCCTTTAAAATGTTCTAATTCGAGATCTGCTTGCAAGCAAGTATTTTGATTATAAACATTAATTTTACATTTACTTATACTATTGCATTTTAATTTTAGTTAGCCAGCTCTCAGATGTTGTTTACAGCAACTGTCAATGAATGAAACAATTATTCAAAAAGCATCCATTTGAAGGTTGTCTCTCTCAAAAATGTTACTATAAATAAGCGATTAATTCCTTAAAAAATAAATTATTATATAACAATATAGAACAGACTGGCACATACGGATACTTCAGAGAACATCAAAGGCATGCCCTGTTTGTGGGGTACAGAAAGCCAAAGGTCATGGAGATGTCAATGACAATTTGACCTGTGTTTGGACCATAATTTCAACAAGTCTGTATGCATTTATTTCTTGTTAAACAAACATAAACATGTCTAATAATTGTTTTGCAACATTGCCTTAACCTTAGCATTAAATAAGGTTGATCCCCACAATGCTCCTCCAAGTGGATCACTGACCCAGCAAGGTGGCCGACTGTAACTTATCCAGACATCTATACATACTTAATTATATCACCAGGTATCATTACGCTAAGCGTTATCTGAAAAAAGCAGCCTTTTACTAGCCAACCAGTCGATCTACAGTCTGATGCTGCTATACAGTATGACTGCATACTCCCACTCAAGCTAACATTAGCTATCCATCAGTAGTAAATGTCACCAGCATCATTTAGCCATTTACCACACTGACAGTGAATATCCACATATCTTATGTGCCTTAAATCTCAGTGTGAAAGCCTGGGTTAACCCACTACACATCAGCTTTTCTGCATTTGCCGGTCTCTTTTATGTGACAGCACAATTCAAGGCGCAGCCTTGGCAATGACATGATATCAGTCTGGCCTGTACAGTATCTTGGAGCAGTAAAACCTTTTTATCAGGATCTTTTTTTAGGAAATGGCAGGGGAACAAATCGGAGATCAGTATTTTTGGATTTATTGTTAGTGTAACCAACTACATAGCAACTTTTCTGCATAGGGTTAGTTAATTTATACTGATTTAAAGTAAAATTAAAGTAAAAGTTTGGAAACATGCTTCAACTTCCTTTTTTTACACTTGCCATTAATCCATGATGCAGGATTGTTTTCCCTGAAAAAGCCCATGAAAGAGCGTATTGCTGGTCCGATGAATGTCTTCAAGTATTTGTTAACTTTAATACTACAGTCTGCAGCACAGTCTTTGACTTTCATGACGTCAATGTAGCAATGATAAGGTCCATATTTGCATGAACTGTGAGGGCAGTGGAGTATGTGGTTACTCATATGACACATTACTACAGTATGAATTGCCCAATCACGAAACCAACTACTGAAATGCAGACAAGGTTGTTGGGTTAAACCTTGTTATAAATGTTCTGCCTTATGAGGGAGGATAGAAAGCAGTCCAGATGAGGTGAATCAACCTTATACACCACAGGGCACTAAAACGCCTTACCTTATTGTGATACTGCAGCATCTGCGTGATTATTCTGATCTTGGGATGATAGTTCTTGATCGAAATGACCCTAGAAGATGAAACACAGGCACAGTGTAACACCTTATCTAGAAAGTTTCCACTGATTTCAAAGTTCGGAGGACACAATACCTCATGATGTTGGAGGCATCTTCAGCATCAGGATCTGCACAGTATTTATTGGCTAGGATTAAGCAGGCATCTGCTGACTCGATCTATGTGCAGGGACCAAATACACAGATATGTTAACGTTATAAAACATGTCAGAGCTTATTATAAGGCACAGTGAGTGCTTTAAACTAACTGTGTCCGTCGTTCTCACATAAAATTAAACAAATTAGTAGGTTTAACTTTGGCCATGTCCAATTAGTCATACTGCTGATCAAAATGCCTCAGATTTTTTTTCCAGTTCCTTTTCTCTGCTGTCTTTATCCATTTTATTCAAGGAATTAAAAAAACTGTTTTCCTCCTCAAATTTCCACTAAATCGATAAAACCCCCCAAATTACTGATTTGCTACATGGAATTTTGCTCTTAATCTGTCAAATTTGATCTCAACTTAAATTCCACAACTGTTGTCAATAATTTCATTTGATTTCATCTCTCCAAGAGTCCTGTCACAGACTGTACCTTCACTCTGGCCAGATCGTGAGGGTTAAGCACAGATCCCTGGTAGAACTCTACTTGGGTAAAATGTCGTTTGAACAAGGCTTCCAGCTCAAGATTAGGGGAAATACTAGCACACAGAGAAGAGAGGAGAGGGGTTAGCGCACCTCAAACACATACAGGCTGAGTGTGCATTGTGTCAAACATTGTGCTCTGCTAACCTACACAAGGTGAGGAAGAAAAGATAACTTACTTATGGAGAAAAACAATTTCTACATTGACATCATCCCTGTCCTTGTGTAGGAAGTCTTTGAGGAAGTTGGAGACACTTTCGAGGGTAATATGACCACAGACCACAATATGCCTGGAAGGGGGGAAGAAATCATCTTGAGTGGGCAACATAAATCACTGCAGACACTGGCATGTCTCCCAAAGATAATCAGTCAAACCAAAGCACTCTAACATCTAACTCAAATATAGACTGAAAAAAACTATATACATGTCAAGAAATGTCATTTCAACGCAAACAAGAAACTGAATTATATCTTTTCTGCCATAAAAGAGAATATTTTCCCCCATGTAATGAAAGTGGTTAAATTCTGCACGACAAGTGCAATCAAACACTCAACTCTGAACCACTTTAGAAAATCTAAGATATAATCACACAGCCCACAGTGGTTGGATTGTCATCCGTTCTCAATATAAAAACTGTCCCTTCGGCCAAACCACCCCTTTGTGAGCTGAATGGATGTTGACAAAGACATGTACATCAATATGCTTGTGCTTTTATACAGAACATTACTAAAAACTTTCAAAGTGATTTGGAGGCCTGTGGTTGACACAAATTCTAAACAGGACTTTGGAGTATTTGACGGGTCCCCTGGCAAAACATGTAGCGCATTACAGCAGAGGGATCTGTCAGACAGCGCACAGGCCTGATTACAGCAGTAAGGAAGTTAGATTGGAACGATTTTGGAGCTGAGGTTGTGTCCCTGTTTGTCCTCTGACTGCACCGTAGGCCAGTGATCGAGTTCAAAGGTCAGCTGTACAGTTACATCAACTATGAGAGTCATTGTGGGAAGGTTGGATGGTCACTGACCAAATCTCATATTTAAACTTTAAAATCTTAACTGTCTTAACAATAAAACTTGTGGTGCTTCTGTAACTATTAAGTTTAGTGTCCCAGAACTGACAGGAATCATTTCAATTCCTGCATCATATATCAGCCATTATTCCTGAAAATACTCTTGTTGCTCAACTTATTTTATTTAAAATGGAAATGGACAACTTTTGCTCTTTAACATATCATCATGAGATGTTGATTGTACGTAAGCCGCAATTTTCAGGGCTGAAAAATGAAGCCAATTCCCAAGTGCCACAAACTGCAGTTCCTTGAATGGCCACTTGAGGCTGGCCCCAGAAGCAAGTCAATCCTCATAGAACCCCATGTTAAAATGTCAGACTTCACAGCAGAAATAAACATGTCTATAGTCTGCTATGATGTGTCGCTACAGCCTCAGAGTCAGATCCACCCCTCACTCATCCAGAACTGTACCCGCTCATCCAAAAATGGTCACTTCTGGCTCTAAGAAACCAAGATGCCGACGGTAGAAATGTCAAACTCAAGGCTTCAAAATTGCAGTCCAGCTATCTATGGGTGATATCATGGTAGCTACGTCAATAATTTTAAGCAGTCTATGGCCCTGATCACACTGAAAGCGTTTAACGAAAAGCAGCTGGAGGTGGCTTTTCGTAATTGTTTTTAATAACAATTAAGCTTTTTGATCACTGTTTTTGCGCTGCTACGTGCCTCAGGTTTCTGTGCTCTGAACTCATCGAGTTGAAAACATTTTAACTCAGAGCAGAAAGCGCCCCACATCATCTCCGCTTTTTCCCCATTGTCCAATCAGATGATTTGAGAAGTGGGCCTTCTGTGGTGGTCACGACAACAAGTCTACTGTTGGGAGGTTGGGGTTGCTGCATACCCAGAGCTACACGACTGTACAAACCGCAGTTACCACGATCTCAATAGAAAATAGCAGGCGTTGAAGCACAGTGCAGTACTTGAAATTTCGGGAAGTGGGTCAACCATTGCGCAGCCAAAACAGGAAGATGATAGCGCCTTTTCCCCCACGGTAGCTAGTGGTAGCTAACCCTAGTTACCAAAGAGAATCAATGTAAGTTCAGGTTACTACCCCGTTAGCCAGAAACGGCAGACAGTGGAACAACCAAAGTAATTGTGGAAACTCTACCCGGCAAAAGAAAATGAGCCTCGTTGCTAGGCTCTGAGGAAAATGGAAAGCGATACGGTTGTCTTTGCAACAGCTGCGCCAACAGTAATACCACTTGGACGTGCTAAGGAGGGAAAAGTTGAAAAGTTGTCTCTTTCCACTTTAAAATTCAAGTTAAGGTTTTAGGTTATCTCATTCCTTTAATGTTAATGTAGCACTGCTATAAGACCTTCAATAACGTACTAGAAGTTGTTGCTATTAAAAAAGCTTAGAAGTCAACCATGATATGGTTATGATAGACTATTTAATCATGCTAATTGAATGGATTTAAGACACTCTATATGCTTCATTTGCAGTGTGGTAAGCTGAGCTACCCTTCTGGAGTTAAAGTTAAATGTCACCACGTCTTATTGCCAAACCCCTAAATGAGAAATCCAAACATGCTCAGTAGAATCCAGCCCTTATATTGACATGGATTAGTGCGGACACTCGGCAGACACCCTAATTACCCTATGGAGACCTGTAAGCCAATCTGTGTAATGACAATGGCCTTATCCCATACTTAGCAAGATGTGCCAGGAGACAAATGAACCACTTTAGTTTTGAGTGCCTGGATACTGGACAGCTTTGCATTTAACACTATGGGTATTGGGTTACTCTTTCCTAAAATAAAAAAGAAACACTGTGGTCATATTTGCTCACTGTTTAACTTCTTGTGATCAAACTAGATTTGTCTCCTTGAATGCATTATCATACATCTTATACACACTGGCTAACACTTTAACCTTTAAAAGTTGACGTCTAAAATTGTAGAACGTTACTGAAGTCTGACTCAATTTGGCAGGTTTAGAGGAAACTGATATTTATTGATGTTAGATGAGAACCATAGTCCAGATCACTTAGTGTTCTCCTATCCTGTACCAGATGGACCGGGTAGGGCTGGACTGAAGTGGACTTGGCAAAGTAATGTGACAGACATATTGAGAGAATGGCAGTTTGTGGATGTTGCAGAACATAATGGTCTTCGCAGATGTCGCCTCTGTCCTTTAAGAGAATCTAATGAGCAGCCGTGATTGCATGGTTGGCCAGAGTTGAGCAAAGGGCCGTGTGGTCTTACAAGCTGATGAGCTGAGATGTCTGTGGGCAGCCGGCAGTGTTTGGCACAAGATGTCTCTCATTTCAAGAGATGAAAAACATCAGTCCTGTTTTCCTATTCCCAGTATTCAGATGCCCTTCTACAAGGGTAGAGGGAATATACAGATTTATACGCCGTACTGGTTTGTGTGGGTTCAGCATTGGGTTATTAATCTCAGACACACACACACACACTAGGTGTAGAAGGTGATTTATCAGCAAAGCAAACTTTCTTCCTCATGTATCAAGCTTTGTGTCTTCCCCTGCAAGCCACTAATTTGAGTCCTTGTACTTAAGATGGAAATTTTGTTGAGATATCACGCTTCACTTGATAGACGTCATGCCTCCTCTGAGTTTTCCTCCTTTTAGTGTGCCAACAGTGGCATCGAAATGAACACTGAGATCACTGGCTAGTTAAATAGGATATAAGAAAAGGATATCTTAGATAATTCAGCCATTTATAATTGCTTCATGAACAAAATACCTCCCCTCTAGTTAACCTGATCGCACCGCACATCTTAAGCTATAGACATAAATAAATTAAAAAAAATAAAATAAATAAAGGAACACTTCAGGGGCACAGATTTTTACAAGAAAACCAAACACATCAACCCAAAACTAGAAAAAAAAAAAATGCGTGGCACACAATTACATTAAATGCAAAGGGGTATTACAGAGCGTGCACACAAAACATGCAGTCAGGAAACATCCCAGGATGTCACTGGGGATACATTGAATACAAACAGAGAGCTCAAACATCAGCAACAGAGGTCACTCACTTGATACTGCTCTAATCCTTAGGTAAGTGATGAAACTTAGTGCAAGAATCATCATCACAGTGTCGCAATTTATACAAATAGATCTTATTTTATTGTTGTATTCAATGAGATTGCATCGGAAACTCAGTCATTTTACCATTATGTCAACGTGTGTCCATGCCTGATACTGCAGGAGTCTCTGGGCCTGCACGCCTCAAGTTGCTAGCCCTTACAAAGGACTTTCAAAGGTGTATGTCAGAGTTCAGCCAGGGTTGAAGCCAGTTTCCATGCCAACCCCTCTGTTGAAGTTGGGGCTAATGGAAACCATGGAGCCATAATGGAAACCACAGAGCCCCGATTGCAGCGGGTGCCAACAGAATGCAACACTTGTCATTATTATATCAGCATACGCAGGCTGAGTGCTGTCACTGCGCTCACGGGTGTATGCTACACTGCACAGAGTACTATAAGCAACACTACCATGAAACAGGAATTCGGTACGGATCCAATGCCCTCTCACTTCCAAATAACCTTCAAGGCCTGTTTCAAATGACAGCGGCCAGGCAGCCAGATGAAATAAGGGTCACATTTAAAATAGTTCACAGTGTATCATGACCTCATTGTTTGCGAGCTCTGTAATCAGTCGGATACTTGTAATCTCCTAATCTCATTTCCATGATAGACTTTTTTTTGTGCTGACAGCTGCTAAATAACTGAGCCCCAATGGCAATCCTAAACCCACATGACAAAGCGTTTTTGTCTGTGTGTCAGGTCCTATACATGTAAACACCAAACACATACATATCTAAATGATTATGCAAAGAGCCTGGTGCCACTCTAAGCCTGTGTGTTTGGTGGGTATCTTCTGATTGCTACCATATGTTTGCACTGTATGTCTAACCAGAGAAAGAAATGGAAGGGGGTGTGGAAAGAGAAAATAAAGTGTGTGGGAGAAACTATCCTCGGCTTTGACAAGGGCTTCTCTCAACACCCATCTGTGAGTCTGGGCTGAGGTCACTGGCCAAACATAACATTTCATCAATCTTATCTCAATGACAGGCAAACATTATCGAACAAAGGCTTTTTTCCAGTGCCTCGCTCTACTGCTGACTCCATAGAATCCGCCCCGCCGAACTGAGTGACTGAAACAGATGGGAGTGAGATTGGAAAAGAGAAACGGAGTGAGAAAGAGAAAGCCGCGTAGTAGTAGATGTTGGAGGAAATGAGCAGAAAAGAAAGGAAGGAAAAAGAAGAAGTCTACACTCCCTGTTCTGGACACACCACATTTGGATTAAAATATATCTGTGTGCTGAATATCAGTAAGGTTTGAGCCACGAGAGGGGAGGAGAACAGCACTGCACAATACGCACTGTGTTGAAATGACCACAGTGTCACACATACTCCACAGTGCACTGGAACCTCTGCTGTGAGAGGCCAATTACACATATACATAAATAACAAGAGCTTCCGGAGACACACTCCACCACCACACAAACACAAGAACCAGGCGAGTACCAAGAAACCAAGCAGGCAAAGCAAGCCAAAAGCAATTGAGAGCCTCCACTGGGAGAGCGAGGCATCCAGCATTCAGGGTGTGGGAGCTGACTGAAGATCAGGGCCAGAGTCATGTCAAGCATTGATGATGCGATGGGCTGGCGGTGACAGACAACAGGAGAGATGGCTTTTTCATGGAGTTCGCGAACAATGAAAAAGCCACATGACTGCAGGTCATAGAGAACATGCCAGAAATGGTGCAGTCGAACAAAAGTAATTCCAGAAAACATGCAAAAACAAGCAAAATGAAACAAGAAAAGAAGTTATATCCTGCAATGGTCATTGAGATTGATGATGCTTAAAAAGACCACCAATAATAATGCACTTGCAGATGTTTAAATCTTTCTATTTTCTTGTGGAAAAATCCTTTAGAAGCGGATAGTAGGGGTTTCATGACTATTTTCTTTCATTCTGATGTATTAGACTATGTACTAATTCATCCCTGTAGACATGACTGTATTAATGAGGGACTATAGGAAGTGGGACAACACATAGTGCACAGATATATTGCATAGAAGCACCACAGGTTAGTACACTGCAGGTCTAGAGTGTAGTAGTCATGAAAGCTCTATTTTCCAAATCAAATTAAAGCGCAACACAGGATGTGTCAAGGAGGACAAAGAAAGAAAATGAACGGCACACAAATGACTTCAGGAAAGCTCTGAGTGAAGGACAGAAAGAGGCAGATATAGAAAGAGAAGGAGACAAGGACAGGAAGAGAGTAAAAGAGAGAGTAAAGGGGCATGGACATGTGTGTCCTAATGGCCAAGGTCTCCAGTCACGCAGTGTGACTTGACATTACAAAGTAACTTTACTGTTCTAAAGAGAAGTCAAGTTAACTAACCCCCGGTAACTCTAAACTTCAAGGGGGCGCACTGAGTCACACAACCACACCTTGTCTGGATTTCAACTTACTTTCTGCCTCGTGTCGAGTTATAACTCCCTCCGTATTTCTTCCGATTAAGGATGAGAGCAGCAATTTCTGGCACGTAGCGAGCAAACATGGCCTACATGCATGGAACAGAAAAAAGAAAAAGGCATGCAGAGAGGGTTCTACCGCACACAGAAAAACAGCAGAACCATCTGGAATACTTACTTTCTCCCATTAACCGCACTATAGGAACCACCATATTTCTTTCGGTTTCCTATTAACTCTATGATTTCAGGGACGTAGCTGGCAAACATGGCCTAAGGAGAAGATAGAAGACAGAAGAAGAGACTAAAAAAGAGACTATTATGCCGCAGAGTGGGTGGTGGGGAAACTGGTGCATGAATCCAGATTTCTGAGGGGAGAAAAATATATCTTTGCCACGGGAATCAAGTTAAAAAAAAACTCTCTCATTGTCTGTAACTTGCTTAACTTTGCACATTGAGAGAGATCTTCATATAAGAAAGAAGAAAAATGAAGTTTTTGCTGCTAAAAAAAAAATAGCCCCAGTTTTTAAAGGTAAAGGTTTGGGAACAGGTTTGGTCGGTGGGCGAGAATTTTGCCACAGCTGATGAACACTCAGTCTGTGATAGCACCCGATACCTTCGTGGGAAGCAGAGTTTTAAAAGGAGAATAAAAACCTATGTGCCATGTTTTGTCCAACAAACACAGATGATTTGGCAGGTTGATTTGAATAGGCCCACCTGATGGTCCACAGCTGCAAAACACATTAAGACTCATTTGTTGGGCTGGAAAATGAGCTGGATGCATTTTGCAAAGTTTCACAGCCTGTTATCCACAGAGCACAGGGTTGTGTTAAAGTTTACCAACTAACAACGGGGTTACACGCTGGCACTACTGACTGAGGCGAACGTCTACAATACGAAACAAAGAGGCGCCCTTGCCCTTGTAAATACATACTTAACTCATGCTTGGAAAGTGCATCTATACATTAGCAGGAATAATGTGAAATGACGTGAGTTTAATATGATCCCTGGCTTTAAAATATCTCCAGCCTGAAGTCATTATTCAGCCACTGCTGCTGATAGGAAGCAGGCTGAGGTACGAGCCTAAAGACTTCCAGAGCTCTCAGCGCTGAGAAAAACACACAACCTATCACCATGGCCACAACACAGTACACATCCACACAGCTGCAGGTCATCAGTGCATAGCGATAGCTGTCCAAATACAGAATACAGTGACTGTGATTTGGCTGGATGCTACGTTTCGTCTGTGAGAGAAGACGGAGGAGGCAGGGTCTTCGCCGTGTGAGTGCTCACAGGTGTGCGCACTCATGCATGCTTGTGCATAAGTTACTGTACTAGCGGCAAGCCGACAGGATGCTAGATCAGAGGAAGGTGAGCGGGAGGGGAGTGGGAGGCTGCTGTTGCTATGGTAACAGTCAGGCTGGCCTAAGCCTCATCTCCCTGCCCCTGTGTTTGTTGGAATTGTGGGAAAAGACACGGGAGGAGGGATGTCCTGAAACCGCAACTGCTTTTAAGAGAATAGTAACAACATTATCAGACAAAAACTTACACTCTTATCAAACAGATACAGGAGTGACACATAAGGGGAGGGGACGAAGGAGCACATAGTACTGTAACTACAGTAGACAAGATACAGTAGGCTATACAGAAGGATAACATTTACTGGTACAGGCAACATAGTTCTAACATTAAAAACAGCGCTATGCTAAAATATCATATTAAAACAATTTAAATCCATTTTAAATAACGTATAATTTTATATATATCATTTTAAACAGTCTATTGAAGGGCACAGGCAGGATTTAGGAGGGGCAAAGGGACGTGAGGGAGAAAGAAAAGCCTGATTTTACCAAACCACCCAGGATGAAGAAGACCATAAACAGACGCCCCAAGGTGGTTTTTGCATAGACATCCCCATAGCCCACTGTAGACATTGTCACCATCAGTAAATAGACACATTCCCAGTAGGAAAGCGACTGGGAGTTCTGGAAGTTTTCCCAAGGATCCCCTGAGTTTTCCACCTAAAATGGAGATGGGAGAGGGAGGGAAGGACAATTAGACATGACTCTCACCACAAATTTGTAAACAGAGTTTTGCATAGAGAAACTATTTAATCAAGTTTGATTAAATCCAGCTACAAGTGCTCATGCATTCATCTTTGTTGAGTCATACAGTGTATCCTTTATACACTGAGCTTAGGCTACCATCTAGTGGTAAAACAGTTCAATGCTTTACAGAGTTGTTGAGCAAAGCTGCATTAACACTATATACTAGGGCTACTTACTTTTACTTATATGATTTTAATAATTAGTTTCATGGCATTTTGCTTTAATTGGACAGTTTGACAGCAGATATTTAAAGGAAACATGAGGAGTGAGGAGGCATACAACAAAGGTCTCTGGCCAGACTTGAATGCTAGGTCCCCAGGACACTCAGCCTGTGTGTTTATATTTCTAATTTTGTCTCTTTCCTTTATAATAAATCTTTGTTATAAAAGTTATATGGGGCCTTACAAATTTAAATTAAAAAGAATTGATCTTTTCAGAAATACAGTTGCTATATTTACACATAAATTGGTAGCTGTTTGCCCTCTGATAGTTGATCATAATTCACCCTCCTTTTACTTTTTACTGCACATTTAGGACCACCAATCAGCGTCAGCATCAGTACTAACCTTAAACAGATCAGGCCAGTCCACATTAAATACACTCCTTTAATTAATTTTATTACAGAATTCACCGTCTCCACTAGAGCTATTAAAAATTACTTTTGAATTAATCACTAACTATGATGGTAACCAGTTTGAGTAATCTTTTCGGACAAAAAAGTAGGGATGCACAATACTGGATTTTTTTTTTTTGCCAATATCCAATACGCCGATTTGTAACAACTCATTTGACAGATAAGCGATACCAGTATTGATAGTATATATCCATTTTTTTCCCACATAATTTTAGTGATCATCAAGTCTGCTGTAGTGGTACTAACATCATATTATACATGCATACTCAAATACAATACTTTTCAATGTATGTCATAATCATTTATTGTGCAAATTAAGAAAAAGCATGTTGGTCGAATCTTTTTTCTTTTCATTTTTAATCTAGTATTGGTCGATAATGATAACGTGCTGATATTAGCATGCATCCCCATGAAAAAAGATCAGAATTCTCTGATTCCAGCCCCTAAAATGTTAATATATTTGGTTTCTTTGCTCCTTTATGACAGTAAACTGAATATTTTTGGGTTGCGGATAAAACAAGACATTTGAGGACGTCATCTTCGGCTTTGGGAAACACTGATTGCCATTTTTCACCATTTTATAGACAACCAAACAAGTAAACTACTAATTAAGAAAATAATCATCAATGAAAATAATTGTTAGTTGCTGCCCTTTCTCCAACATGAGTAATTGAGTCATTGCGAACACTACTAATTTTAAGTGCCACGGCAATCACTGGCCTCAAGTTAATTAATTAATTGTAATTAATTAGACAATTACATTTTTCAAAGTGTCGTGTGCCACAGTTGTATTGTGCCAATTAGTTAGTTACCTTCCTTACTGACTCATTAATCGTCAGACCTCACTGATCCTCACATCTGTCCACTTACCAGATGTATGAATCCAGCCGCTGTGAGCCATGTGCTTATGAAGATGGAACATAGGTTCACCAGCTTAATGGAGTTACTGGGTAGAAGAAGAAGGAAAACTCTCACTCTAATGTCATTGCAAAGACAGAAAAACTGAGATTCATGAGCTAATGAAAGTAAGGGCAAGCCTAGCCTGTGGTGACTAACAAAAACCTACAGCTGGGACTAAACGCTTGAATCACAACTCCAAGGAGGAGGATGCTGAAGGAGGAGCACTCTTTAAGCATATTACACCATATGCCCCAGTACAGTTATGGTATACTAGTCTAAGTATAATGTTATATTTACATACTAGGTGACAAGGTCATTTCTACCACACCATAAAACATATAATGAAAACTTCATCTTATTAGATAAAACCTAAGTCTTCCTTTGGGGACATAAATCCCAATATATCAAATATATTTTATCTCACTACACAACACATTGCAACATATTTAAAATTGCAATAATATTGTATCGTGATAATATCGTATCGTGTATCGTCTGTTAATTCCCACCCCTATTAAACATGTAGTTTAAAACAGATTCAAGCAATTGCTACCACATTTCTGCCACATTATATACCAAACTTTCACTGTTGGATATGGCTAACTGCTGGTGCTAACAGTGTTGATACTATAAGTGGACATGATTTCTGTGAACAAATAAATTGGGAAACCTTTATTCTTACCTTGTTTTCAAGATATTCAAAAACTGCAGAATTTCTGAAAACTGTATCAATCTTAGTGCTCTCAGAAATCTTAAGCCTGTGAGAGAAAAACAAGACAAAGACAAAGAAAGAGAGAGATTAGCACAGACGGCCATACGCAGCAACAGATGGTAATCTCACATTCGATGCATATTCACACATTTATCCATAAATTGGGTGCTTTCTTAAATATCTGTACAGTGGTACCCAAGGGTGTAGGTTTTGATTCAACATTCTGGGGGACACATATTAAATGGGAGGTCTGGGGGTCCTCCCCCGACATACGTACACTTAATTTCAAGCATTCTCATACACCATTGTGTGCCTTTTATGTATCAGTTTATGGTGGTACTCCCTGCCATCTAACACCTGCTTTCCTGGTTGTTATATCTATGAGTTGCATTCTAGCACTCTGTCAAAATAAAATAAAAGTCCTCTTGGCAGGGACAAATGCACATTTTCTAAATATTGAGGTGGACATGTCCCCTGCATCGCCCTCAAAATCTACAAACATAAGTATGGCCGCTATGAAGAGAGACAACATGTACGAGTAGTCAGATAGTACAGTCCAAATGTTTTTCCTCTACAGCACTCCAGCACAGCACCACATGATGAAAAATTTAGTCTGCAAGACACGAGAAGATGATACAAAAAAACTAGACACTTTATTCTAGATGATGTGTTGGAATTATTTATGCATTCAAACAAGTTAGGAGGAACATCATGTGGCCTACTTTACATGAGCCTCAGTCTGCATCCAAGAGCAGCTCGCTCAGGGATTATGGAACAATGTGACACCTGCTTCATTGTCTTTTTTACATAACACGACTGATCCCACGGAACGTGTGTGTACTAGTGCGTGTCGGTTTATGTGGCAAGAATGTATATGAATTCCTACTGGGATGATCTCTACAGTTTACTTCCTGTAAGTATAAGACAGTGGCCATATGCTTGTCATCAAACATGCTTCAAAGGTCTCTAATGGAGAAACAACTTCTAAATAAAGGCAACTCTCCAGATGATACATGTCTGATACGCTGCCTTACCCCAGTTGGAGAGGATGCGCAAACAGGACCACACTGAATGATACAGCCCTGTCTGTTTTTCCTTTTCCTCCCTTCCATGATGGCCTTGCCTCACCCTGTACCCATTCTGAAAAAGATCGCCACAGGACTTCTTTCGCCTCCGCGTCTCTCGGAGGATCTCCGAATTAGCATCACTCTGAGTACGCCGATACACGAGCAGCTTAGGAGGAATCATTGTTTCAGGCTAAATACCGTCCAAGGAATTCCTTTTTCTTCTTGCCAAGACAGGAATTAAAAATCACTGAACCAAAAATATTTAGTCCCCAGTATTTCAAAAGCACCTCCAGAAAATGACAAGATAATTCCTGAGACGTCTCTTCTCTGTAAAAAGCTAATCCTCCTTGATATAGCACCACCAACGTCAAAAGTTCCTTGTAATGATAACTCCTCTGAATACTGTGAAATCGATGGTCACTGCTGCAGACACAGACAGACGAGCTCAAACAGACAGCTGGAACTGTATTGTTTGTTAAATCATATCAGCCTTGACAGGGACTGTGTCTGTGAGCAAAATGTCAGACGTAATATGGGTGTTTTCTTTTTTTCATTTTTTGTTACAGTGCCTTTAATCCTCACAACCCAAACAGATTTACCTTTCCCATGCCCCTTTTAGTGCTCCACAGTTAACCCCTTTGAAGCTTTGTCTCCATCAACACACAGCTGTGTTGAACCTATTTCCTAAAAAAACAAAAAAAAGTCTGAACCCTGCCGGGGATTAGCAGAGATGAAGATAAAAATGAAAAAAAGCAGAAAGAAAAGCAATAATCCTGACTTAAAATGAGTGTCCCGATTCCATGGGGAGAAGGTCAAACAACTCTACAACAATTTGCTGCTGGTGACAGGTATTGTGACTGTTACAGTAAAATCAGATCCTGTCTGACATGGACAAACATCTGTCGAATTAGGGATCCACTCTTAACATAAGAACTCAAGGTTAGGAAGTTAACATAACTTCCATATGTTTTACCAAAGTAAAACCTCTTCGTTTTATCATTAGTATTTTTGTTACTTGTTTACACTGTACATAGACTGGTTACACTAGTAGCACAATATTACTGAACAGCAGCTGAGAAATGTAAAGGTAAAGGCATCAGTACACTTCTCGTGTGCCGCATCTGAATCCTGTCCCTCACACTTTGAAAACTTTTGTTAACTTTAATCAATCTAGCAATTGCCCCCAATGGAAATCCAGTCTCAAATCTAGAAAGATTTTGAGTCTGGCCCTCACAGATACACCCTTCCTACCCAAGGGGTGGCACTAACTGAGGCATTTCAAATGCCGCTACACGCAATTGGATAGCACGATAGCCAATCAGAGCAAAAAACAAGGTGACGTATTCATTGCACTAAGCCCCATTTGTTTGCTGACCAGTGGGGCTAACTGATATATTATGCTTTTGCTGTATCCCATCAGCAAAACAGCAAAAACGTCATCCCTGGAAACGAAGGCTTCTAGGGCAGTCTTCTGTTCCTCTCTCAAGGAAAAAGATAGATGTAGTTGGCTTAGCGTTTCTTCCAAAGCTGAACTGAATGGACGCGGTCCTTTGGCAGCTGCCATCTTGGCTGTTTACTTTTCGACTCCTACAGCGCAGCGCTGTCCTCATCATGTTACACCCGCCCAGAGCCCGCCTCTGTCAGATAGACTGATCTGATTGGTTCGATTGGCGATTCACCGGGCTCTGCTCGTCGGGGCCAGATTCCCGTGCAGTGCATCTGAATTTGCTAAGGGCGGGGCATCTGGATTTCCAGGTTAACAATCATACACAACTTCATCCAACTTTTATTCATAAAACTAAGTAAGCTGAGATGCCTTAAATGCCATTGAGGAAATCTTTAGGGAGAAACAGTCTCTCACATCTTTTTTTGTTCATTTAAAGCATACCCAATCCTTGAGGTCAAGGATGGTCAAGGTTGTTCATACAAGTCAGTAAAATGACTCTGCTATGACATGTAGAGTAGGCCAATGGAGTTGTATAGTTACAGTCCATGGTCAAAACTCACAAATTTACCCAACTAGTGTACTTAAATACAACTTTGAGGTACTTGTGACGAAGAATTTTTACAATGTGACACTAGTACATGTACTAAGAGGACCAGTGTATATGATTTTGGGGTATCTATCGCAGAAATTGAGTGTAGTAATTATGTTTTCATTTGTGTATAATCCCCCCTAAACTAAGAATTGTTGGGTTTTTATTAGCTTAGTATAACCCTTTATATCTCCATAGGAAGACAGAACCTTTTTTTTTTTTTTCTTTTTTTTTTTTTTTTAAGATGTGTGGTTGAGATCAAAATGAAGGCAGAGATCAGAGAGCAAGGGCACCGGAAGTTAGGCGGTAGGAAGTAGGGAAGGGATCGTTGCCCCTCCACTTTACGCCCCCGGCATACATTCATTTTAAGACCAGAATTGCTGAATTGCAGCGGGAGTGATCCCATTGCAAATGATCCCATGGTCTCTAGGTGCAATCTGCAACCTCACCACTAGATGCCACTAAATCCTACACACCAGTCCTTTAAGTAAGAGAGGCACTTCTTTCACCACTGGATACAACAGAGTGAAACAAACTGATTATGGTTTGTTAAAACAGATGTGTACAGTATGTCTGTATATTAAGTTAAATTGTGGAATTTTTTAGTGGATAACCAAAGAAATGTTGTTCAGGTATCATTCAAAGGAAACAAAAAGATTAAATCACAGGACAATATGTGTGGTTCGCTGGACTATATGTTTCTGTTCTTTGTGCTCATATTTTTTGCAAACGATTTTCTAAAGTAAAGGCAGATCATCAATGTCTATGTCATTTTGAGAAGGGGGCAGGTGCAGTAATCTACAGCAAAAGATTCATTCTTCTTCCTGCTTCGTTTCAGTCATGGAATATGTGAGTTTTATAGATTGGCATGGATATTTTGTGTGACATCCTGTGTTCAAAGTATTTGCAGAATAAGCAAAAAAATAAACATTGTGTTTTTTTGAGGATTGAAAAGTAACAAAAGTATCAAAAACTGCTTTTCAAACCTGGCATTTTGAGCACAAATATTAGACACTACCAAAATGCAGAGTGATGCCGTAATGGAGGCTGCTGGGGCCTGCATTTTTCTCAATTAGTGGGGAGCATCTGTGTTTGTGTTATACTGTACATCTGTGTGTGTGAGTGTGTGTCACATAAACAACACTTTGTGGGACAAATATCTTTTCACGTCATCACATCTGAAGACTCACCTCCCAACTGGGGATAAAAAAAAAAAAAAAAAAAAAAAAAATCTGGTGCCACAACATTAACCACCACAAGTGAACACAATGTCCTCACAAGTATAGCAGTACAAGCCTGTGTGTGTTTGTGCGTGCATGTGTTGTGAAAACTCTCAATGAAATTCTGCTCCCTTGAACACGTGCTCATGTATGAGAAAATCTCTTTCCCACGCATGCCAAAGCCTCTTGCACACACAAGTGTCAGCTGGCCAGATGCTCATTCAAAAAGGTTTTTCTGGCCTGTGCCCACTCTTACTTCATTGAGGCTTTGCGAGCCAGAGCACGGCCTCTCTGTCACATGTTCTGGCAGAGCAGCCTAGTGGGACCTTTTATCAATCAGCAGTCTGGGATGGTTCATCTGGGATAATACTGACAGTCAAGGCAGCCAGGATTAGATTATACAATGCTACGCAGCACTAAACACACACATGCAGTGCCAGTGTGGCAGTGGTTCTTACTGGACATCCGAGCTGGATAGCACATGGACATTAACGTATACATTTAACACATTTTTGCTGTCTTATAACTCAACCTATTGCCTGTGCAGTAATACAAACAAGCACGTGAGGAGCCTGGCTACAGCAAAGAGGCTTAAACTTCCCACAAATTAGTTTCCCTCCCCTGAATGTACACGGAGGCTTCCTGCCAGCAAATGAGGGGGCATATAAGGCAGATGCACTCATGCCCATGTCAGGTAGCGTAAGCCTCTTTCAGCAAGAAAACACAGGGATCAACAAGCAGTATACTAAAGCACCACTAGGAGGCAGTAGCAGGTTAGAATCCAAGACCTGCCTGAGGGCCACTGGAGTGCTGTACATTCTCAAAGCCAGTGCAGCTTAACAACATTTTGGCTGCTACCATAAATTCAGGAAACAATACACATCAATCACTTTAGATTGTTAAATAGTCTTTCAAAGAACGTATGATGCCACTTATTGTCAAAAATATTTCTATTCTGAAACTGATCCAAACCAACGTTGCAGTTCCCTGTGGTTGAGGAGGAAAGCGTAAAGTTAGCAGGGAGTGAGAGTCAGGGCTCAGTAGCCGCATGAGCTACTAGCATCTTTCAAACAGCCATATGCTAATCCCACACTGCTAGGAGTCTCTTGAGACCAATGCTGACTTCGAGTAGTTAAAGGAGATTAATTCCTTTTTCCAAGGAAGAACTCTGCATGCCCTCTTACATTAGCCACACATCGTTCTCCTCCTCTTAATCAATGTCCAATTTGCAGAGGCAGAGAGAGCATAACTTGAAATGCATACAGCATATACTTCCTCAGAGTGCAGAGTAGGCGGACACACCACCACACAGCACAGGGCAGAACCCCTATTAGCGTTTTTTTTTTATTATACACCTCCACTGGATCTCCAGCAGTCTTCTCATGCAGGACCACAGCTGAAAGAGTGAAGCGAAAGGTATGGTAATTATGATGTATTACAGCGGCTGCGGTTTGTATTCCCCAGCAGTGAATGGAAAGAAAAGAAGAACTAATCCATTGGGAATTAGGCGCACAATATACGTTCTTAACAACCACCCTGGCTTCCTCTAACAAAGCCTGTTAAGGGACAGTTCACTTAGCTAAATGAAAGTAGCAGCAACTATGGATTAGTCGATCGATTATCAGGAAAACCATTATGGTCCTGTCAAGCATGAAGACATATATGGGGGGCAATAGTCTTGAGGGAGGTGGCAATGTCATTTATTATCAGTGAATATCAAAGGTTAGCATTTGAGAGCAGATCAGGAATGAGGCACAACATCTTAATTACCTCTTCTCTGAGACTCTTACACAGATTAATTGTGCTTATTTTCCTGTCACAACATGGCACTGTATGTCCTCATTTCCATATTAATACAGGATGGAAGCAGATAATCATGATTCCTGTCCTAACTCCTCAGAGCCTGAATATTACAGACACTTTCAGCACCCCATTAGTATTCTGGAAGCTTTCACCAGCCTGTTAAGGTACATCATATCCCACTGCACATCTACACACTGTTAATTTTATAACCAAGGCTTTGCAACACTGTCTGCAGCCTCAAACACACGGATGAGCGCACCACCAGTAAACATAGACTCGAGCCATGCCAGTGGGAGTTGTGTTACTATAATGCGCTGGGGTTATATATGTCCAACACTGCAAAAATAAACATGCCTAATGTTTGACGGAGATGCCACCTGATATGTCATCCTTGCCAAAAACTAAAAAAATCCCAAAGATTTTTTCCTTTTCAAAATAAGAGTAATGAAAAAAATGCATATTAATAGCTTGGGAATCTGGGGCATCTCTCAAAAACAATAAATTCACACTCTTAGCTGCTGTTTACACCAGCAACTCACACCGCATCTGTAAAGTATATTTAAAGTGTCATTGCTTTCTGCATCAACCCGAGAGGCGGGATATCTAACGATCACAGGTAATTATTCACTGCAGAATGTCAAGCAGCAGCCAGACCACCATTTCACAGTCTTTCATCATCCTCATCAAGGCCCTAACACCAACGGCTTTCTGGGGATGAGATGAGGACACCTTACATCATGAATACCAGAAACCAGATTACTTGACTCGGCCATATCTAATTCATTACGCAGCTTGTTCCCTGTGAAATTCATGGGCCATAGTGAGCCTCTTAAGAAAACTTCATCACCTCAGAGATTAGACTTTCACAGTTTTATATGACTTAGATTCAGTGATTCCAGTGGATGTGTAAAAACAAGATCATACAGTGCAGGATAGAAGGCAGATCTTTTACATTTCTTAATCTCTGACAGTATAGATGTGGGGGCAATAGTCAAGATTTACTACAACTTGGGTGTAATGATGTTTTAGCCATCATTTCTATCAGGTATAATACCATTGTTACTGTAAACAAAGAATCTATATATCCGTCGATATCGTATTTTTGTCTGAGCAGCTCCATTACCCAAAACCTATTCAACCAACAATTATTCAAAACAGAGAAAAGTAGCAAATCCTTACATCTGAGCAGCTAAAACCAGTTCATATTTGTCATTTTTGCTTGAAAAACACTGAAAAGATTAATCAGTTATTAAGATGATTGATTATCTGCACCCGTTTTCAATGTTATCACTTGATTCAATGGGCGTTATCAGTGCTTATCAGCTTCACTGATATGGGTTAGAATAAGCCTGCTGCGCCTCCTAGTACTAGAAGGCTGTTATCAGGAGCCGTTTCAGTGGGTTTGACTTTCACTTTTAGATTAGGAGATTAGTTAGATTTAGGCGCAAAGAGCCTAAGCGCAAAAGCTTGGTTAGATTAAGAAAAAAGAGCATGATGGTTTAACTTTACGGAAGTACATTTTGTGATGTGATGTCACTTAAAATAAGTCAGTGTTGACTTTTGGTTTCACACATGACACAAACCCAAGGCTTTGAGGTGAAAGTCCCTTGTTTCTTTGATTCATTCACTACCCAAATCACCTCCCTTTGCAGACTTCCTCGCCTTTTATACTAACTTTACATCACCTGACTTTCTCCTTTGCTCCCGTCATAATTGTCATGGTCATAAAGGTCATCAACAGGGCCATTTAATGAGCTGAAAACACATTTCTGAACCTACACTTGATTCAGTGGGTGTTATCAGTGGTTATCAGTCTCATAGATATGGGTTAGAATTAGCCTGCTACACCTACTGGTACTAGAAGGCTGTTATCAGTTTCATTAGGTTTTACTTTCAGTTGTAAATTAGGAGATTAGTTATATTGAGTAATATAGGCTATATTAGTTATATTAAATTTAGGAGCGAAGTGCCTAAGCGCCAAAGCATGGTTAGGTTTACAAAAAAAATCATGATGGTTCGGGTGACGTGACGTGACGTGACGTGACGTGACGTGACGTGACGTGACGTGACGTGACGTGACGTGACGTGACGTGACGTGACGTGACCTGACGTGACGTGACGTGACGTGACGTGACACAAACCCTGGCTTTTGGGGTTAAAGTCCCTTGTTTCTTTGATACATTCACTACCCCAACCACCTCTCTTTGCAGACTTCCTTGCCCTTTATACTAACTTTATCTCACCTGACTTTCTCCTTTGCCCCCATCACAAATATTATGGCAATAAGAGGTCACTACCTAACAATTAACAGGACCATTTAACAAGCTAAAAACAGGCTTCTGAACCTACTAACTGGTGCAACAGGCCCCTTCTAACACTATCTATGGGTCTGATAACCACTGGTAACCATTCAATGGAGTAATAACATTCGAAGCGACTGTTTTCTTTGCAGTCTCTAATTCTGAAATGTCTTCCATGATTGGCCAAAACGAAACATGATTTTCCTATCAATGTATCTGAATATGTAAGATGTCTTTTTAAAGGAAATGTCTATCTCTGTGTCAGTATTTAGCTTTAAAGGTCTAAATCATTTATCAAATCTAAGTTTTTCTGCCTTGAGTACCCCAACTCCTTTGACTATATTTTATGTAATAGCCTCACATTTCAATGTCATGCTTAGATAAACATTGGATTAGTATTCAGCTGAGGTGTACATGAAGCATAGTAACAATGTATAGAATTGTATACGGTTTTAAAGTGGAGTGTCAGTGCACCCGAAAAAGAAAGAAGTCTTTTCACTGCAGTGTAATTCTGGCCACAATACTCTGAACGCACTGAGAAAAGTAGGTCGTTATGTAATGCAGGTTAGGGTGTTTTCCAGTCTGCTCATGCAAGAGTGTGTGTGTATGTGTGTATGGGGATAACACATGCGTTTGCCTGTGCTTTTTGTGTGTGTGTGTGTGTGTGTGAGTGTGAATGAGCCCATTAGATGGCAGTTATGGACCGCTGTGAGGTATTCCAGGTGCAACGCCTGAACACGGCAATTACCAATGAGTCTGAAGCACAGGCACACAAGCACACACACACACACACACACACACACACACACACACACACACACACACACACAGAGATAACCACAGCCCGATTCTGAGTCACTCTCACTCCCATTAGCCCATCCACTCTGCTGTGTCTGTGTTCACTGAAACATCAGAGGAACCCAGCCCTGTCACTTTCAATGATGAGGGAAAGTTGACTGCAGCCCAGAGCACGAGGGCCTCGGAGACACACTCCAAGTAATGGGGAGACAGAAGGGGGACTGGGAGGCAAAGGGAGAGATGGGGAGTGATAAAAGGAGGGGTGACATGTGAAGATAGAGGGCAAAAAAAAAAGAAATGGAAAAAGAGGAGCGGTGGGATGGAAGGCGCTGAGGGAAAAATAAGTGAAAAATGGTGAAAGAAAGCAAGAAAAGACGAGGCGAGTGAGGACCAAAGAATGGATTTATGAAATCGAGTGTCAAAGCGAGATAGAAAGAAACAGCTGAGAGGGACAGGCAGACTTACCGAGCCAGCTTCTGTTCAAGTAGACAGAAACAAACACGGGAGGAACAGTAAAGAAGTCGACCACTGAGTTGACCTCCAGCCAGAACCACAGTTTATCATTGGCTGCTATAAACTGTGAAAAGAAACAGAAATAACAATCAAATTCTAATTTTGTACAAACTCCACCTCCCTACCTCGGTCCACCATTCAAACTACATGCAGTGTCTTTTTTTTGGCATCGCTGACATACTGTATAGAATGACAAAAGCTTCACCCCACTTGCTGAGTCATGCGAATGGTTGGTGGTGTAAGCAGCTTATGAGTTTATTTATTCATTCATTCAGGATGGCAGGCTTGCGTTTGCACCACTGGAATGCTGCTCTGGCATGACAGCCATGCTAGCAACATTATTACAACAGTGTCAGTTTAAACTAAAGGCATGCTGTGTAAGTACACCTAGGCGACCAAGGTGGCGTCCAGTTAGCTTGTTGTCCTGTAAAAATGCTAAAGATTTTAATGTATGCAAAATGATAGCCGTGTGTGTATTGTTTATGCCAGGGTGTGCAGTATATGGGTGTTTGAGTGAGTGTGTGTATGTGTAGTCATCCACGTGCCAACTTACCCGCAAGCCAAAGTAAAGGAGGAAGAAAACGTTGAATGCCATATCGATCTGTAACGTGAAATCTTTGTAGAAGTTCTGGCAGGATTCTATAGGACTGGAGAACAGAGAGAGAGAGAGAGAGAGAGAGAGAGAGAGAAAAAACACGGTTAAACACTAATAAACTAAGACTGTGGAGATTGGTCTTTCATGTCTTTTGTATCATGAACACACAGGTGGCAGATACTGGGGACCTTCCCATATTTCCATGGCAGGAATGTCATTTTTTAAGCTTTCATGTTGCTTTGATTGTTTACAGTTGGTATATGAGCTTTGCATTTGTATGACTAAGTAATATGGATGAAATTGCACAGCTCAGTCGCCAGGAGAAAATGTTGATAATGTATATTTTTGCAAACCATGAATGCTTTCCACTTGCACATTTAATATTTATCACAGTCAATTCAATTCAATTCAATTCAATAACAACTTTATTTATCCCGAAGGAAATTCTTGTGCCAAAGATTGCTTCAAAGTACAATAACCACAAATTTATCAATTCACAACCAGTACCAACCAGACAACCAGTGGGTTCCCCTAATCAGGGTCACTCACTGGGCCCAGTTTTAGAACAACAGAGTATTAAATATCTGGCAAGATGTACAAATATACATGAAAAAGTACATTAATAAGATAAAAAGGGAATAAAAGACACAAGACAACAAGGAACTCTAGCAGGCTGCTGCCCAGGATGGCCCCGGAAATGCTGTTTTTATGTTTCTAAAGCGAGTCACTGCTGTGTTTCCATTAGCTTTTTAGGCACCAAACATGGGTGTTTTTTGAGACTCGTTGCTGTTTCCAGCTGCTTTTTGGTCCTCAAATGTGGGTGTTTGTTAGTGCCCCATGGCTGTTTTTCGAACGGCTATTTAAGACCCACGGACGTGGGTGCTTTTTAAGCATCCTAATGCTGTTTGTCCAGCGGGGATTGTGCTTGCTTTTTCTGAGACATTGCTGCATTTCCTTTTTTTTTTTGGTAATTTTCCTTTTATTTAAATTTTTTTTTAAAAAGAGAAATCCTCAGATACAAAGCCACTTGCACAAACACTGTTTTGTAACTGACAAAACAACATCATGCACACAAATAAATAAAAAGACAAATAATAATAGAAAAAATAGACGTGCAGACGAGTAAACAATTAAACACCACTTAAACAAACTAAACTAACTAACAAAAACAGCACTAAACAAATAAATAAAGTTAATAATAGTAATCAAAAGAAAGGACCCTAAGATCCAAGTGTAGCAGGTCACCAGGGGTAGTCACTATAGTGCTGGGCAGTATGATTGAACAACTGCATCACAACATATCTTAGGATTCTGGCAGTATCACAGTACATCACGACACCTCTTTCAGTATCTAGTTTGGGCGTTTTTCATTGAATTGCCCATTGAATGCATCACCTCTAGGGGCTCACAGCATGACAGTACACATAGAGTTCACCATTCAGGACATTAACAATAGTACACTGTTTCATTCAGTACTATACAACTTTAATTTGAAGTGTGTTCTATATGGCTTAATAAATGCAATCCATCCTTTCCAATGTTTTTCAAATAAAGCTGTCTTAAGTCTCAGTTCAAAAGGTTAATTTTTCCATAATATACATGTCCTGCATCACATTAAACCAGTCAATTAAAGTGGGAAATTCTTGATTTAACCATTTTTATTCTGAAAAGAACTGCTGCTTTTATAACGGGGATTGTCCCCCCCAAACTAAGTATTTATAGCCAAAACATTATCTTTCCCTAACCATAACCAAGTAGTTGTTCCTAAACCTAACAGCACCATAACCACAATGTTAAAATGTAAAGTTCCCACGTATCCACGACACACTAATGTACAAATGTAACATATCCCTGGTTTACAGAAATGTACCATACCAACCTTTTTTCCAGCGATTAGAATAAATTATAATACAATATTTTCTTTAAATTGATCCCTCACAATGTGCTTAATGTATGCAAATTGAACTTTATTCCACTGCTGTGCATTACATCAGAGAGAAATCTGCATATACAGTATATAACACATAAACTTCGGTATGTTGTTACTTGGTTTATTTAGCCAACTGAAATTTGGTAAAACAATAACAACACACTTCCACTTCCTTGTCATATCAGAATCATCATAAATTTATGCTGTAACTTGCCTTTTTTCTCTTCTGTCATGCATACATGACCTGATCCTGATCACCTTTCCTCAGTTCAGCTAACAGGACTGATAGGAAACCGTTCTCTGGTAACATCAGCCAGCTCGAAGCTGTCAAGGTCAAACGGTGCTGACAAATGGTGCTTCCCATTTAAACTGACTGAACTGAATCCTTGCCAGCGATATATATTTACATTCCCTGAGAAAACCTCTGTGAATGTAAATTAGTTCAATCAAAATATGGGATTAAAAACACGATTAATAACCAATTAGTGATTTGCCTTTGAGTTTCACTGACACCCTGTGATTCCTCCTCCGAGCCCTAGGGGGTAACAGACCAAGATAAAAGAGCCACTGTAGCTGCGGAGTCAACCACATATAGATTAAACAGCTGAAAATAAACTGAAACTGGTGATTGCTTTGATGTGACAGTACATTCAGCATGCATAAATGATTCAGCATCTGTCAAACACAAATATTCCAACAGATATTCCCTCATATGACACAGACTGCACACAAAGAAAGACACTGCGGAGCTCTCTCCTTTTAACCGAGCGAGCTGGCTGCTGCTTAAAAGAAAAAACAGGCAGATGATGATGAATGAGTCGTGATCTGTCTGGTCTGTCACGTAATCCATCTTCATGTTTACCTTGTGATGATTAACCATTAGCAAGTGGGTGCTCTCAACAAAAGCAATAACAGGCTGTGTGCACACCCCATTCTTCATTCGGTCATGGGCCTATAGCATTTTGCTCCTATGTAATGAGGTAATCCCACTGTGGGAGAAACATGAATATGCATTATGGTTTGGCTGGCTATAGGCGACCTTTGGGAATGTATAGACTGGAAAGGGAACACACACAAGGCCTTTACAAGAGTACACACTTACAAGTCCCATATGTTTAAATTCAAACATAAAAGTATTTGTATGCACAGAGCCCACAGAGGCACAGCGTGAGATCCAGAGTAGAGTTTCCCGCACGATAAGAACCTCCAGAGGTGAAGAGGCTTAATCATCTTCCAGTTAACATCAAACATTTTATCTCATGACGATACATTATAATGGATGACTGAGTACAGACATGCCAGAGAGGACGTATTGCTCCAAGAGGATGATCCAACTTCTAATTCGTGAGTGTGTGATCTGTCTCAAGCATATCCTAAGGACTGATGTGATCTTTAAGATGATGTAAAACCCTGGCTCATGTCCAAGATGATTAAAGTGAGTCTAGTTTGTGCAGCAATTGTTTAAAAATAATATATATATTTTTTGGTTGAGAGGCATTTTCTCATACTGAGCCATCAGAGTTCGGACAGGGGTTGATTTGCTTCTGACCCCTCGAAGGAGATTACATTGATCTGGCCTAAAAACTCAATTATTAACTCACCGCTGGCATCTCCACGTGATTCCTTAGGCATCAAACTAAACAAGGGTGTGAAAACCAACCTGTCATGAATCATAAATACAATATAACATAGGCGGATTGTAAGACAGTGGGCCCCTGGGCACAAATATGAAAAAGGCCACACAACCTCTCCTACACAGCAGCAGGACACAGACTTTGTGGTGGTTTTGGGTCTATTTGTTGTTGCTTTGCATCCTTTTGTAGTTGTTGTCTCACATCTTTTTTGGTTGTGTTGCCTATTTTTGTAATTATTTTGTGTCTCTTAGCAGCTTTAGCATCTCTTTGTGGTCTTTTTGAGTCTCTTCCTGATCGGTACATGTTAATTTGAGTGACATTTCGCAGGTGAAAGCCAGGGTGGCCCCTGACACTTTGGGCCTCTGCCCGGTAAGCCCGTTCAGTAATCCATCCATGCAGCCAAACCCTGCACATAATATTCCTCACATCCATCTACACACAGCACACTGGAGCCCATGCGACCTCACTCCCAAAACGGATCTGAAACCACAACCTTAGCTAACCTTAAAGACCTTTGTGCAAGGGAATGCACACACATTTATGCTAATACAAATACACTGACAAGCACTTCTGAGCACACACACAGATGGTGCACACTGAAGACACCATTTGGAGTGGTCACTGTGGGATTTCCCCTCAGGCCCAGCTCTGGCCTAATTCTGTATAACCGCTCATCTACAGTCACGTGAGCCAAAGCATTCTCAATAACACAGAGAGAGCATGGCGGCACACAGCACGGGCTGAGTGGTACATTGAATTTGTCTTGATTTGGCAATATAAGGCAACACAAAAGCTACACTGTGAGAGCTTTAATGAAGTCATTTTTCTAATCATTATTTAAAAGTAAAATGCATTATCAACCAAAGGAGTGGGAACCTATGGTTTCTCTCTTTAAGCTCAGAAGCACAATAATAAAGAGTTCATCAGAACACAGTGGGAGAGGTTCACAGTCTATTATCGCGGAGCTGCTGAATATGTTTCATTAAATTGCAGTGGGAACTAAAAAGCAAAGATATAAGAATTAATAAGTTGCTGTAAATATTGCAAGTCAAAATGTTTGATTGCACATCTTTAAAGATAAATACTTCTTTAACACAGCTCTGCATACAGAGCAGAAAATAGATGGAGCAAAGAAAAAAAGCAAATAGACAGAATTAGATGTGCTGCATGAGTAGAGCTGTGACTCACCACCTATACACACACAGCCTAATAGTGAGCCATCCGTTCTCTGCTAACATCAAAGCAATATTTCCAAATAATCTTTAATCTTATCTAAACAAATATATAATTGTAGTGACAGTGTGTACTGTGAAGGGTGTGACTTGTAGTGACAAACCCACAGTTTGTCACTAGAGAACTCAACGCTGCTGTTCTCTAGCAAGCATTTTAGCTTCTTTCAACGTATTGTTTTGGTTTTACAGCCTACACCTTTATTGTTTTTAGTTCAGTCTCACTATTCTAGTCAACTATCTGCAAACCTAGATGAGC